CGGCGGGGATGTCGCTGCCGCGGCTGGAGAAGCCGATCAAGCAGGCCTTCTACAACACGGGAGCGCTGCTCTTCGCGGGGCTGTGCTGCGGCGCCGCCGTCCTGGTTTACTTCATCCTGGAGGCCTTCCTGCGGCCCCTGCTGTGGGCCGTGCTCTGCGGCACCTTCCTGCACCCCTTCAAGAGCTCCCTGACGGCGCTGGGCCGCCGCTGGCTCGGCCGCCTGCACCGCTCCCGCACTCCCGTCCTGCTGGCCGCCCTCCTCCTCCCCATCTGCTTCGCCAACTACGGGGTGGAGGCGCTGGGGGAGCAGGTGCTGCGGCGGCGGCGGCTCCTGCTGCTCCTGGGTGCCGGGGGACCGCTGCTCTACGGGCTCCACTGCCTGGGCAGCTCCCTGGGCGTGCAGGTGCTGCTGGCCCAAGCCGCCTGCCTCATCTGCCAGGGGCTGGATTACTTCAGCAGCCAGTGGGTGAGTGCCCGCCTCGGGCGGGAAGGGCGGTTGGGGGAGCGCGGGCTGAGGCGCGGCGCCGGCCGCCATCTCACTTGTTGCGGGGCGGCGGCTCTGTGGGGGCGAACGTGTCACATCGCCTGTTTGAAGCCGCCTTTTGCCGTTTTCTCTTCTTTCTTCCCCGCCGCCACGCTAAAGGGCGCAGGAGTTCGTTCTCCTCACAGCAGCGGGCTGGGGCGGGGCGGGGGGGGGTGCCGGAGCAAACCGCCGGCTGTCAGGGCGAACCTTGCCTCCGCTGTAAAACCGTGTGGAAAACAGCTTCGGAAAAGGTCCCGAGTGATAACCCGCGGCGTGGGGAGGTGCTCTGGATCACCCAGGGGGCTGCGGCAGAAGCAGGCGGGTTTTCTCCGGCGGTGTTTCATGTCCGTAGTTTGGTCATGCCCCAGCTTTGAGGGGCTGTGAAGTCCAAGGTAATTCAGGGGAGGTCTTGGGCAAACATCGGCTCCGAGCTGGGAGATGTGTCCTCGGTGTTGTGAAATAGCGCTTCAGCTCTGCAAGTGACTTGGGGGGGGGAAGGCGTCTTAAGGCGTGTTTCTCGGTGCACTGGTTTTTTCTTTTTTTTTTTTCCTTCTTGAAGTATCATACGGTGCAAACGCAGTTCAAACAGTAAACAAAGTAAAGCTGTCGGTTTAACTTACGAATTTCGCTTATGGTAATAAAGATTCTGGGAGACTACTTTTTCCTGTGTTTTCAGTAGGTAGACTAGTTAAAACCTCTGGCAGAACTCAGTTTCACTTCGTTAGCTATAATTGAAAATGCAAGAAATACTACATAATCTCAAGTAAATGGGTGTGTGGAAGCATGGAAGATCAGTAACTTGTACTTATTAGAGACTGATGTACGATGGGCATGCTCAGATTGCCTAGTGTCAAAGACTTTTTTTTAGATTGCTCTAGTTTTTTAAACAAACAAACAAAACAACCACGCCCCCCATCGCCACCTTGGGTGGAAAATGACATGCACAGTTGGTTTAATGGGCATATAAGTGGAGATGAAACTGAGGAACTACCTAAAACTGATTTTATGTGGGCAAGAGAGAGAAACCGTCAAGAAAGAAAACAAGCCACCGAGCTTGTCCAGGCTTCTGATTTTGAATTACACATGTTCTTTGAATACCAGTTTTATTCCTTTGGTGGAGCCGGTGCATGCTGCTATCTCAAACACAACTTCGGAGATACGTATCAGAAACAAAAAAAGTCATAGTTCTCCTGAATGTACTGATGAGGGATATTTGAGCTATTTCTAGTGTGAATAGGATGGACTGGAGAATGTGTTTTGTCTCTTGAAGGTGAACATTGGAAGAAGAGATTTTCTGGGCTTTCTATTCTGAAGTGTTGTCATATGCTGGAAGACGTCAGGGGAGATGTGTTTATGGTCGGTTTTGTCCTCAGAAGTATAATTAAGACTGAGTAGATAGAGACAGTCGCTCTGTTTTTATAAAAAGGCAAGATACAACCATTTTTAACTAAGTGGTGGAGAACGTAAGCATGGCTTGATACTGATGGGAAGTTTTGATTAGTTGCCACACAATTTACCTGATAAGCTTGAGACTTCCCTTTGCACTGGCCTACCCATTTTATTTTTAACAAATCGGCGATATTGCTACACTAACCGACTTGGCTAAGTCCGGTCCTTTATCAAACTCAGTTAATTAAGCATAAGGGTACTGAGGGAAGTTGCACCAATATAACCTCATAACTATGGTCGTAATGCACTGCTGGATGTCTGTGCGTGCTCAGTGCAATTTTGTTTAGCAGTCTCTGATGCTTTGTTTTGCACCGGTGTTTCTGATATGACACTCATGTTCACTGAAGTGCTATAAGATTTTAACTGGCCAAAAGATAGTAAGCTCCCAGGACTCTTCTGACTTGAGTTCCTTGGGAAGATTTTGAGTTCATGTCAAAATAACTGACCAGGGACTTCGTTAAGCAAACCAGTTGCCATAGCTTTCTATGCAAGTTGCCTGTGTCTTTTCTGGGGCCTTATGTGAGAAAACTCTGGGGCTTCCCTTTGTAAGTAACCTCAACTCAGCCTGGCATCATCTATACACTTTACAGTGTTTTCCTATTCCAGTTTCTTGAATTTTGCTGCTATCTGATTTGTATTATCTCAGAGCTGTAGCAGGATAACTTAATTTTATCCATGCTGCTGAGGAGCCTTGAGCTGGATCAGTTTGTAGTATCTGCTTTAACTTCAGTTAAGCATTTTAAAGCCGTTTAATTGCCACGTTGTATTGTAGGACTCTGTTTACACATGTACCGTCTGCTTGTTAGCTGCACAGGAATTTTGGATATTACGAGTCAGTTTTCTCCATTGTACTGTTCTTCTCTGGGATCTGAATCCTCCATGGTTCCTTCTGTATGTTGTCTTGCATGAAGATTACAACCATTTTTGTTAGTAGATACTCTATGTGATAAGCAAAAGTAATGGTAGTTTCATTTCTTGCATGGTTTCTTTTAGGAGTCCACTAAGCCAATCTAGACTTCTGTGTTTTGAAATATTTTTATACAGAATAACTTAATTAACATAAAATAAGTAAATTTTCCACTTAGACAGCAAGGAATACTGTCTTGCCAAGAATATGATACATAAATCATGTATTAAAAGCATAAAAGAGATGAGCGAGCCTGGCTTGTTTTAAGTGGGAGACCAGTAACTGACTAGCATAGTACATTTGTTTATGGTAGGTTTCATCTTGTGTCTGTGCTCCAGCCACCAACAATTCTGTCTTAGGCTGCAGAGTAATACAGTGTATTTATTCTCATTTGGAGCTTTGCCCCATCTGGATGGCCCTGCTGCTTACAGAGAATAAGAACATGCATGGTTGTCTTCTCCCTTTCTGATTCCCTCTGTTGTGCTAGAGAATTGAGAAGATGCCTATCATTAGAATTTGACTGAGAACAACTATGGGGTTTTGGGATACCAATTTGATGTTCTCTAACTAAAGGCAGTTTCATGGTATCTACTAGGCTGTGATACAGTGGCAGAAATTATCTTCGGTTCCAGAAAAATATGTTCTCCAAATGCAGCAATTGCATGTGATAACGACGTAGTAAACTGTATCTTGGCACCAGTATGTTACAGAGCTTTCTTGTTATTGTTGTCACTGTTGTCCTCAAATCTGGGAAAGCCATTCATAGTGCTGATGAGTGAAGATTTGGAACTGGCGATATTCCTGTCTGTGGTTCTTAAGTCACACCTGCAATTTGAATTAGGAATCATAGATACCTCCATGGTAGCACTGTTTGATAGGTGATTGCAAAACACTGCATTTGAAGACCGAGTCCAAGATCTTAGGCTAGTCTACAAGCATCTTGTTCCCACCATCTCCTTTTCTTTCCCTTCATGCTCTACAGTTCCTGCATCAGCTTTGAAGAAGCTTGCTCAAAAAATGTAGTAGGCTGCTGGACCTTAAAGCTAGGAGCTGGTTATAAATTCCAGATGAGTTCCTTGCTCTGGCTCCAGCCTTCTCTATGGGTTGTTTGCAGAAGTCTTACGTAGAGGACACAGACTCTACGTGAACTTCAGTTACATGTAATAGGGAAGGGGAATGTTTTTATCTGTCTTTTTTTTTTTTTTCCCCCTTGAAAAGGAGGGGAGTTTGTCTCATAGCAGACTGAATATAACCTTTACACATTTATATGCTATGGCAATTTCAGCATGGTTACCTATGCAGTTAGCATACCTTCTGAAGACTGATTGGACTTGGACTTGGACTGCCTTGTCATCCTAGTTTTGTAGGAAGTATGCTGATATCCATCACTGTATTTAAAGTATGAGAAATTCTTCTGCTTCATGGCAAGAGTTCAAACTACTTTAGCCTGGCATTTTACACTTACAGTAATATACGGGAAATGCCCACTATTGGTTGTATTTTCTTTTTTTTTTTAATTTTCCAGCAGGGTTCACATGCTCATATTTATTTAGAAAATAGTTAGTTTGTAGATCCGGGCAGATGAAATGAATTGTACAGCTGTTCTACATTGACTCTGAAGTTCATCTTAGTAAATTAAATATGATATAATCATAATTGGCAGAATTCTCTGGAGTGAACTTGGTTACAGGGCTGTCAAAATCTTTCTCCCATGGCCAGTCTTTTTTCCTTGGTTTGTCACAAGTTATTGGTCAGGGTCAAAACTGTGTACTCATATGTATGTGTGTCAGTGTATTTTTATATCTCTGACTGTACTAGGTGCAACTTATTTTGTTCTAGTGGTTAGCATGCAGTTAGAGGACCTAATCAACACTTTCCTCTCTACAGTGCTGGGCAAATCTGGAAACACCATTTGCCATGACCACTGCATTGCAATATTGTCAAAGTAGGTGGTGTTTATTTTGGCCGGTCGACTGACTGGTGCTCCCTGTAAGGGAATCTATCAAAGGCATTCGCCAGGGAAACCTCCATTTGTGTTGGCACTAGATGTCAGCAGCCTCTAAGGTAACCCTTGCAGACTGAAATTCTTGAATGTGCTTCTTGGCAAATGTTTTGTGTCACAGGTTCCAAGAAGCTTGGTTTCCACAGTGCTGTTGAATATCGCCCGTGGAGGCAAAAAAGCATCTACGTTTTGTTAAGATGGGGCAATTTCTCTTCTAGCAAAGGAAAGGGTTAAGGTTGACTATAATGTTGGAATAACTATAAATTACAGTTCTGATTTTTGAGTTGCGTATAATTCCTATTTTTCGAGTGTTTCAGATAGGGTTGGTTTTGGGGGGTTGGTTTTTTTTTTTTTTCTCCTTTCCTTTCTTCTTAGAGCAGGCTTTTAAAACTTGCCCAGCATACCCCCCCCCCCCCCCCGCCACCTGAAAAAGCCCTTAAGTATTCTTTCTGCTGTTTATAATAATCCTTTCATTTTTTGGTATCATGACTCATAAATCATGCAGCCAGGTACTGACTGTAAACACATCTTGCCAAAACCACAGTTTTGGGTTTGTTTTCACAACTTGGTGGAGATCAACTGTGTAGAGACCACATGTGGCCTGTTTAAAAACAGGATGGGGAGGGCAGGGAAAGACTGAGATGTTGATAGTGTTTTCTTTTCCACCTTTGTTTTTCCCTTCCACACCCACCCTCAGTTTCGGGAGAACCTGCTGTGGGATACCTCTCTTGAAAAGGCTTGTGAGCTTGTTTAGATTTATGAGCATGAACTGCAGCCCCAGGCACTAAGCTGACACTAGCCTTGAGCCTGGTGATATATGCTATGTAAAGTTGGGGGGGGGGCGGGTTGGTATTTATATGTACTATTTGAACACAGTGGTACTTCTTTTTCTACCACCTCTGAAAGGAATGCTTGCTACGGAACTGTCCAGCAAAATTTTAACTGTGCTTTCTCTAATAAAGAAGGTGAAGAAGTTGCGTACCTTGAGGAGCCATCTCTTGTGAAAGTGTCATCGTGAAGCATGTCAGAGGAGTGGTGCTCTGTCTGCAGGGAATTCGATGTGCTCTGAAAAAGCTCTTTTCACAAGTGAATCTTGAAAAGTTTGATTTCTGAGTAGTGTCTCTCTTAATGGAGTTTCTCATAAATAACTTTTGTGTTAAGACAGGAAAAGTGAACTAAAGGAGGAGCATTTTCAACATCCATACCTGCAGTCTTCTGCATATCTTGGATATAAAGGATTTTCTTAAATTCATAGTGTAGGAAATGTTGCAGGACACATTGAAAATACTTCTAACTCATGTACGGCAGTGTTGATTTTGATGGTCATTTCCCCCCTGCCCCAGGATTCTAGTTATAAGTTCATAATTTTGTCCCTTCAAAAAGGGGTGGTCTTGCTAAACACCAGGCTTCTGTTTCACGTGGTTTAGCACTCTGTGTGTCAACGTCAAACATATCTACATGGATATATGTCATGCTTCGGGGTTCTAGAAGAAACAGAACTGGTATGCTGTTCTAGTCCTTTGGGCTTAGGACAAGGAATAACTCAGTCTGTCAGGTTTATGCTTACTTGTGTTCACTTAGGGGAAAAAAAAATCAGGATGTTACTTACCTGCTTAGGTAAATGATGTCTTCCTTAGTGAAGGGAAAAGGTGGTTGAGTTTGCTTTGAGGTGGCCAGTAGTATTATATGTGTGATTAGTTGGTTTGGGGCTTTTTTGGTTTTGTATCTGTTTGACAAAGACTGTCTCCATGCTAAATGAAGGGCAGTTATACTTTCTTCATTCTGCCAAACTGTGCACATTGTGGTACATTTCATCTTGTGTACTGTGGAATATACAGTAAAGCCACCTGAAATTAATTTTGGTTCTGAAAACTGGAATCAAAATGACATTTTCATAATTCCTCACTTGCCTCCTTATTATCTTTTTTATTGTTTAGAAAACCATTTTCAGATGAACAGACAGATAGAGAAAACACTGTGATGTTCATGCTGGCAAACACAGTTTGGCTTTTAATGATGCATTTAATGCCTTGTGTCACTTCATTTTTCAAGTCCAACAGTATTCTGCTCAGCTTTTGTGGTAGGTTCATTTTCCTTTGCCAGTCTGCATCGCTACTGAGGAGGAAGACTTAGAAATAATGCACTGCTGTTAAAAAAAAAAATCACTTCCTCAACCAGCTTCACTCAGTGCAGCACTTCTAAGTTTGTAAAAGTGCCATCTGCCTTGTTAAAAACTGAAAACTTTTGGAAGGTTGGCAGAGCATATATCAAAAGAAGTAACTTCATTATTCTACTCAGTCTTCACTGTTGTGTTTACCGAGGGGTGGCTTACATGAAGCAGGTAGGAAATGTGTTCCCTGCTGGATGTTGAGCTGTTGGGGCAACACTACAAGGAAGGCTGAGTCGTTCCGACAGCTTTGCTGCCAATGAGGAGCTGTTCTTGCTTATCCCACTTCTGACATATGCTTCAGCTGCCCTGTTGTCGGTGCCTGTCTTACCTCTGTGAGCCTGTTAAGCTATAACTGAATTAGATTATAAACTCGTGGGTTTTTTTCCGGATAGTTTTTTATCAGCTTAGGGAGCTTGAGCTGGCTGGCTGAACATTGAAGCTAGTGTGCAGAAGGGGTGGGACTGCCTGACTGGCAGTGGGAGAGAATGAACTGCCACCTTCAGTAGCAGTGAGCTATTAAATGAGCATCTGTAAAACCTCTCCCTTAGAGATTAAATTGCTGATAGGAAAAAAGGGAGTGAACTGTGTAAATAATTTTACTCTTCAATATAAATATTGTCAAGAGTTGAGTAGTAAGAAGGAGTTTGTTATCAAAAAAACTATCAGATTTTCGAATTCTCTCAACTTTCACTGGAACTGTGAACAGACTTTTAGTGACATTGGTGATATGGTCATGCTGATAAATCCTAGACTTTCCAACACTTAAATTTAAAAGAAAAATCAAAACACTGAAGCAGGTGCTTGAACTTAACATAAAAGCTGCATCTTTGTATGGTGTAATTTTGCCTCCAGTTGGCAATTTAAAGAGAACTGAAGCCCTTCAGACTTGCCTAGGCTTGTCTAAATCCAGCCTTTTAAAATTACCAATGTAACCCGAAAGTGGGTGCTGAAATCCAAGAAGTTACGCTGCAGTCCTACAGCAGTTTATTCAGGGAAGCAGGTGTTTTACTTTATATGTCTGAAGGCAAAACAACATTTTGTTCAGTTTGTGAGGGGTGCTACAAAATGCAAAGGAGATGTGAGAAATGAGGTCCTTGCTCTCTGTTTGGACAATGAAGATAAGTGAGGGAAGGAAGAAGGAAGGCTTACAGGATTAAACCATCCTAAAATTGTGATATGTGGGAGTTGTGCATGTCTGTAAATATTAATTGTAATTGAACAGGCATTTAAAATTTCAGAGTACATGGTAAAAGTTAGGCATCTGCAACTGACTTCAGCTTGATAAATAGTTTATGGTAGCTAAGACATTCTGCAATATCTGAAGTGTGTATATTAGTTACCTAGTTAGCTGTATACTCTTATAAATCAAATTTATAGGCATTTTGGCTTAGCATGGAACTTGCATCCATTCTAGTTTTAGTGCAATAATGACAGTAGCTTAATTTTAATGAAAGTAGGCAGTATCTTTTATTCTTCATTTCTATGATGTCAGTTGTTGAGATGGACATGTAATAGTAAAGAGGCTAGTAATATTCTCACACGCTTGTAGCCAAAACCTTTGGACACCATTCAGAAAAAGTGGGAAGGGTTATATAACATGCCTTTAAAGGGTTAAGGGGGGGAAATTAGGCTGTTGACAAGTTAGTATGGGTTGAAATCCTAGTCTCTGTCAGTTTAAGTTAATTTGTTTTGTCAGTTGCTTTCAGCTATGAATTGTTGGAAGTAGGCTTACCCAACTTAAAGAAGTAGGCTAGCCTAGTTCCCGTGCAGTATTATTTCTTTCAGCGTAGGGAAGTGCTTGGCCATAACATTAACCGATAAAGAACTATTACTCCATGGTGTCACTGAAATGAAACCTCTTGCACCAGTCAGTTGACAAGTTTTTTTACAGGGCTTCCAGATTGTTATTGTTTGATGTCTGAAACAAGATGGCTTGTTTATTTTAAAATAAGCTATTTCTTTCTATTCAGTTGAAAGTAGAAATACTTTTACTTGGGTCATTTGCTAAGCTTTTAGAAATGAGAATTGATGAATTATTGTAACTTACAACACAAAAAATTATTGAATACCTAAACCCTGAAATGCTGGCTTTTAGTTCAGCTACATGCATGGCTAAAAGCAATGCAACATGTTTTGCTTTGTTGGCTGTTAAACATAGGCTTATGACCTGTTAGCCTCCTACTGGTGGCATATTTTTAATCAGAAAGTTCAATTTATTGAACTTACTGAGTCTCCTATTTGTAATTTATCATTAAATTTAAAAGCTAAAGAGAAAAGTTGGCTTGATGCTGGAACATCTGTCACACAAAGATGTTATGGGGCTGATGTTAGGGAGTAGGATAGCATCTTCGTGCTGAGTTGTGTCTTGCAATTACAGTTGTGCTGTAATACGCCTTGTGAATTTGTTATGAGCCTATGCTGTTAAAAGAGTGCTGCCGTGCATTTCAGTTCAAATTTTTTTTGTTTGTTTATAACTTTAGTCTTAATATCTAAGGGTTCTGTTGGTTTTAGACGTTTGTCTTGAGTCCACATTTGGCCAAATTACGTGTCACTAGTCATTTAAAGGCATGACTGTTTTGTGGACCAACACTGCTGAGGAACAGCAGGTTTTGTTGTGCTTTCTAATGGCTGTCTTTGGCATAAAGCCCCCTTTGTCTCTTGGGTCTGGAACACAGGAGCTGGCAAGCTGCTCTGTGCTGGAATGTGTGGTGCTCTGCTGGCTCTGTCTCCCTGTAGCTCCACTGATGGCTGCATTTCATTTAGGTTCTCACCTTTTCAGTAGCGGTTCCAGAGTAATTGTTTGGTCTCGGGTGCAAAACCATCTTCCCTCAGGGTTTGCGTCCAGCAAAGCACGTATACTGCCTCACATTAGAACCATACTGAAGGCAGACCGAAGGCATGTCTAGCCTGCCCTTACACTTCACACAAACTTTACGCTTCTCTTACATGGAGCAAAAACTCCTGTAATTGACTGTCAGTTCGGAAATGTAGGCTTCTCAAAGGATTAGAACCTGACTTCAATTCTCTCGATAGGGCAGTTAGGGGTGCATGTTTGTGCGTATAAGCACGCATCAAAATATTTGTCCTTGTGTATGTATACATACGTGTGTATCTTTTTCTTAAAGATATGGACGTTGGTAGTTGGTTACCTGCTGATGGTTTCATTCAAGTGGAATATAAGCACTGAACGTTACTTAAAAGCAATCTCTGTCCCTGTCTGGATTATGCTGCTCTTTCACTTAGGTGAGTAACAAGTTACTATTCTAATGCGTTGGCTGGGATTCTGTTGTCTTGCAAACAAAGCTACTTGCTTCCTCTTCTGATAAGTCTTTATAATGGAGTCTTAGCCGAGATGCAGGCTGATTTCTCTGCTCAGAAATTCTGGCTGCATGTGGCCAGGAGAGAGAGTTGGAGTAGGAAATGGGAAGGCATGAACATGCTGAGCAACATTTGTCTTCCACTCCTCCTGCTCAGTTTGTACTTCCCATGGTTTTCCCTTACTTGGCTCCAGACCTGATACTGACTCCCTGATAGTGGGGAAGGGCTGGGGTCACATGTGGGTGGATTTAGATTTTTCACTTGTGATAATTTTTAATATTATTGTTTTCTTGAGAGCCTGCCATTAACCAAGGCTGAGGCTGTAAAATGCATGTAATAGAAGTAAAACAAAAAAAATTTCTCTCAGTAGTCAACAAGCATGTCAATATATCAATACCAAATAAATTTGCCACTAGTCTGTATAATCTGTTAATACAAATGTAAGATTATAGTAATCTATTAGTATTAAAATTATTTTACATATTTAATATAACATCAGATTATATTATCATATCAGAGTTTATGCTGGAAGTATCATGCAAATAATAGAAGACTATCATGATGGAAGGTTTCACAGCATATTTAATGATTTACTTTGCTTTAGCAGCAGGTTTCAAGGGTTGTTCTGACCATGTGGGGACACTTTCCTGAGGTTTTAAGCTACACATAATGGCTTTGCATTTGCTTACATTTTGACAGTCTTGTATTTGTTGGAAGTACTAGCTGAAAAGCCAAAGCCCAAAAAGGCACTGCTTGATGCCACCACTCTCTGGAGATCTAACATAAATACAGATTTTTGGGGGAACTTAATTTGCCTCTGATATCTAAAATGTTTTTATTTTGTGTGTATTTTCACGTAATTTTACATGTTGTTTTAAAAATTGTTCTCTAAAGAATATATCACATATTTTAAAGTCATTGAAGTTAGGAATGGTAACAATTTGGTTTATTCATTGAGAAACTGGTTCACCTGTTTTTTCTATTCTTCTTTCCATGAATGTAGAAAATTTGTTTGCTTTATGACACTTCTTAGTTTCTGCCCAGATTGTTCTTGGTGGATGTGGTGCCTTTCTTGGTTTTGCTAAATGTAGAGTTTATTAATGGCATAATTTTTCTTGTAAAAAACCCCCTGTATCTTTCAGCTTCGGTGGCAGGTTCCTGGAGGATTCCTGTGTTTCTGGTTATAGTTGTTCTGATGACTGTAGGTGTGTTGCATGAACAGCAGAATGGAAAGGAGTCTTCTGGTAAGAAATCAGTCGCTATTTCTTTTATTGTTGGAGGCAAAAGTTGTGTAAAGTCAAGTGAAAGAATCTGGACCATATTACTCTAAATTCAATACCAGATGGATTGCAAGAATTTACCCTAAGATTTTTAGTATGTTTGTTTCAAAGTGGTTTACGCATGCTGAAGTGCATCTTTGATTCTTTACAGAAGATCTTTGCAATGGACTGATGTTTGTTTTCCATAGCAACGTAGTGACTCTCATTGTCAAGCCCGATTGCTTAAGTTTACAGAAGTCTGTGTGTAGTTTCAAGCATAAAGCAAGCCCAGGAAATTTGAAATCAGAGGCTAATTTTGAAAGAAATGAGCATTGTGGGTTTAGTAGCCCCTATAATGCTCAGCATGAGAGAAACTGAGACAACTCCATCCAGCAAGTCATTCATTTTTAAAATACCAGTTTCTTAAAACTATGGTTTGTGTTCAGACTTTGAGAAAAATCGGTTCTGCCTGTTGCGAGTCAATTTTGCACGAAATCCAATGTCAGGTGTTCTTTTCTAGTACTAGCTGTATGATTATTTGGGGAAACTTTTTTCCTGTCTTGCTGGTTTAGTTTTCTTGACAGTCGTCGTAATCTTGGTTAGTAAAATTGATTATCTGGTATAGAGATTTTTAGATTAATCAAACTGCCAGCAGCTGCGAGTGACTCGGTCAGTGACAGTTCATTAGCAAGGAAAATGCTAAGCAAATAACTGGTTTTGTGTTTTGGCTCCAGGTGTATTGTAATACTAAAATTAATAGCACTTGTTCCTGTTTGATCGTATTGACTACATATAATACATATTAAAAACTAACAGTGTCTATCCATATAATTTCTGTTGCTTGACAGCATCCGTGGCTATCAAGCAACAAATAAAACATTTTAAGACTTAAGCTTTTCTTTATTTACATACACATATGTATTTTACAGGGGCAGAGCTTCCTGGTCAGATGATTTCCATTGCTGCTTCAACAATTGCCATGGCAATTTCAATGACAGAAGATGAGTCCAATAATGAAAGTTCCTCACAACCCTCAGGTGACTGAATACTCTGTAAGAAAACATTTGAATTTGCTTTAAAGGCATGAAATTGGAGGGAATTAAGATCAAATTTCAAAATAATCCCTATCCTCTTCATTCTGTCCAAAATACCACGTTTATACTTACCTCGTGAAACAGGTTTATCTGTTTTTTAAAATGTTAACAAGACAATAATATAAAAGCTGTCTTTTAAATTGTAGTTTACATGGCTTTCTGTACGTTTAGATGGCCTGACTAGAATAATTTTATTTTTTTTTTTCCCCAGAATGAGGGCATGGCTTTTTTCTGTTCTTTATTATTAATTTTTTTATTTTCCCTAGCCTTCTTTTGATTTCTTGGCAGTTACGAGATAAAACTGGATTTCTGGACCAGGTACAGATAGACTGGAATAATTTTTGTATACATCACAGTGACAAAACCCCCGTTGTTCTCTGTTTAACTATGGCATGCTCAAAGTCTTTCCTGTAGTGAGTTTACTTCACATTGTAGCTTGAGTCACGATACTTTCACTTACAATAAAACAACTAGAAATCTGTAAATAATGGCTTGAAAGAGTTGCAAAGAAGGTGTTTAGATGTCCATCACTGGTTTTGAACTTTACCATCATTTTTCCAGGTAGGCCTTTGATGGAATGCGATTCTAGAAAAACAAGCTATTACGGAGATCTCTGGAAATGGAAAGGTTTCATCCATTTCCTGCAAGCAGACAAAACAGGTCATTGAACTTGACAGAATGTGAACTTCCAAAACTTCATTTTGAAATTGGCTGCATCTAAGAGTTGTCTTCTTCAAGATAGTATGTTCTTAATATTGTCTGTAATGTGTAAATCGTGCTCCGGAGGAGGAAACATAGTGATTGTGCAGGAGACAATGCTTTGAGCATGTGGCATTAAAACCTTCTGTCTAAAGGTTACCATTCATGAAACTAAAAAGTTATTTCAGCCACTAGGTGAAATGGTGTAGAACAAGCTCTTCAGAAATCTTTTGATGAAATGTAAACACTTCCTAATTTTAAATATGTCAGTGTAGGCTGTACTTGAAAATATGCTTAATTTTAAATATAGAAAGGGCAGCTTTAGACAACTTACCCTTTTCTTATCTTTGTTTCTACATTTTACATGACTATCATCAAAATAATTATAGAACCCTATGGACATATGTCCTGAAATTTGAGAATGGAGCATCATTGTAACAGTTGTCTTGTATTGCTGTCTCTAATCTTTAATTTTGGAAATGAGGTTATTTTTTTTTAGCTGTATTTTTGAACACCCAGTCAAACAACAGTCTCCCACAAATGTACTATGTAGGTGGCTGTGTTCTTGTTTGTTGCTTGTGTTGTTTTTTTTCTTTTCATTTGCACAACAGTTTTAATTTTTTTCTCTTCTTTAAGACAGGGTTTTTTTTTTTTTCAAGTTGTAACATCTCATGGCCAAAAAACCCCTCCTACAGCGGTTTTATAAAGGTGTCTTTTTATAGTGAATGTTTTTTGACTTATTTTCTTGAGACAGTTAACCAGACTTTTTTTGTCTTTCAAATTCTGTTGTTTTCCTTCACAGCAGGAGAACAAATATGGAGTTTCCTGTTGACTCCTAACAGTAGTTCAGATAATTTTCCAACAATTTGTTGGGAGTTAGCATTATAGTCTGTGACACGTGTTAAGCATCCTTTTGGTCATCTTTGGTTTGAATCTTCTGTGTGAATGGTGATGAAACATTATTCTTGTACAGCAACAGGTTTTACCTGCAGGGTTAAGAAACTGCAACTCTTTTGTTTTTCCTCTCCAGTGATTTTTAGATGTTCTGTTATCTTGCTTTGGAACTTGTAATGTAACACACATCTATTTTATGATTTTGAAAGTTTTCACATCTTCAGCCAGGTGGATAGCACATTGCAGGAGGAGATCTTCCTCATATCTAGTCTAAATATGTCAGTGGTTGTCAAGGTTGATTAATTGCTAGTATCAATAACAATGCTTATACTATATTAAATCAATTATAGAACAATAATGCTTCATGTTTTTATTGTTCTCCTTATGCTTAAATTTGTTCATGAAAACAACAGAAGGGGAAATAAGCTGTACTGATTTTAGAGTTTTTTCTGACCACTCATGTTTTTCCTTATTTTGTTGTTGAATACCAGTATTTAGTGTGGGGTGAGGAATTTAATGATAGCAGTGAAGGTGGTCTGACTTGTTGTCCTTCCTGGTGCCCCAAGAATTTCCAGAGTATACAGCAAATGAGAAGTCCGCAACTTAAGCAGCAAATACCACTGCAGTATTTTGTTAGCTGTCTTGTAGGCAAGATTCTATTGTCGTGTTGGCTTTGAATATGATAGATACTGAAATCCTTAAATGTAATCTTGCCTCTTATCCTCCCTCCCCCCTTCTTTGTTTTCTTAAAAAAAAAAAAACAAAAACTTTTTCTTTTGAAATTACAGAAAAATGTGGTTATTCATGAAGGGGTGCCTTCATCCTGTTGTTCTGAAATACTTTTTCATTAATGATAATAAAATCACTGTTTCATCTCACTGAAGATTTTATTCTGATATCCTGCTCCATAGAGATACAGATACCTGCCTTTCTGTATGCTGCCGTTCCTTTTCCTTTTATTTAAGGAATGGGAGGAGAATAATTCAAAACACTATGGCAGCAAGAAGTTGACTTGACAAAGAACTTATTGTGTAAAGAAAAGAACATGTCTTAAGACAGCCTGGAAAACTGACTTTTTTTGTTGTTTTTATTGTATTCAAATAAATACCACACATTCTGATTTTGCTAGAATTCTTTACTGGATATTATGTTAACTGGTTGGGAAAGACTGTGATACGTTCATTAGTTGGAAGACAGAAAGGTGTTTTTCACATTTCATCTCTAAAAATACCATGAAGCACACTAAGAGGGGTTTTACAGAACTTGAAGTTGCTCTAAATCAGTATTCCGATAGTCCTTTATTCTGGTAGTCCTTTTTTTCCTGTTTGTGTTGACAAGGCACTCATGCCTTGGTTTGCAGAGCATATCTTGCCAACAAAATGTGATATTTTTTTTTCATTTGCAAAGTTTGGTGGGATTTTTGAGTGGATCAGCTTCATGAACTGACTTTACGCTACAGTCATCTGAATGGCAGTTCTGATGCTAAGGAGTCTGTGTGTTTTTTGGCATGGGGAGAATAGTGGGTCGTTGGCAACGCCAATTTAGTTTGGCTTAAAGTGGTGTGGAACTGCATTGTGAAAAAGCTTTCTTATCTTGGAATCCCCTAGGGGTTTTAATTTTTTTTCCTGTTTTGTTTTTTTTTATTATTATTCTTTTTTTTCCCTGTCAGCTCTTTCCCATCTGTGCTTTGCATTCTACGTACAGTCTGCTTAAGTTAATAGGAAAACTGGAAGAGAATGAGGCAGTCTAATTTGTACTACTCTTAACATTACTGTTGCTGTTATTTAATTAAGGTTTTCTTCATTGCAAAAATATGTTGATCAGATTTTTCATTACCAAAAGAAGGAATATTCTTTTTTCTTTCATAAAAGTGCCTCTACTAAGGGCTTTGGGGGCAAAAAGTGTCAGATAATTTTATCTTGAGGCATAAACTTCAGCATATTAAATGCCTTTGGTTTTTCTATTTTGACTTCTAGCACTTCCTTCCCTTTAATAAATATTTGAGCCTCTGCTGCCTGTCATGTTACTTCTTATGTTTATTATATTAATTTTGGAGCAAAAAAACCCAAAAAGCAAAGTGTTGAGTAAATTGAATTGATAGGGGAGAATTCTCAATTATGGATATAGTGCTTTGAAATTTTTGTTCCTTTAGTGCATCGTAAGCTGGACCCATTTGTTTCTATTACTGCTCTTCTGCTTCATTAAAAATAGACTGAGAAGTACAGGGGAATGATAGACCCTCTGTTTCTTATGACAAAAACACTTTGTCTTTTTAGGAAAGCTTCTGTTCACAGGTAACTTTCTCTCCACTTATGGAAAATTAACTTGTGTCTTTTTCTCTGAAGTGTAGTTTGTATATGATGGGGCTGGCCTTCATCCCTTTGAGCCATGAACTGATTTGCCAAGAAGCACTTCACCAGAAGCTTTGGCTGTGTTTAGCTGCTTGCAGAGTTCCTTCTTTCAGTTTGCATGCTGTAATTCCTTTGGGAATGTTCTGAAGTTCCACCAAATATGTTACCAGCAACCAGCTGATGTTTCTCTCATTGTCCCAGTGTCTATCAGTTGGGAGAATCAATAGATCTGCCTTATTGTATTAGTGTGGTGGGGAAGTGTTTATAAGCTCTAAAAATAGTTCCCCTTACTTGTAGAACACCAGTGCAGATTTCTACGGAAAAAGAAGACCGTTCATGCAGTGTGTGAGGCTGCAGAATTTGTCACTTACCACTACTGTACATGTATGACAAATCCGTCTTGTCTTTTTGTACATTCTAGCTGTCATGCTTCAGGCTAAGAATGGCTTTAATGACACATTGCAGCTAAAACTGCATGTGTGGAACATGAGTTATTTGTCTGATACACGTTGTAGTATATTGTAATACAGTTTTTACAGCAGTTTTTCTTTGTGGGAGGAAAGTGATTGGTGCTGATGTGACACAAGTCCAGTGAAGGGAGTTGTGTTCATTGCTTACCTGCTGCAGTATGCACCAGCATAACATACTGCTTTTTATTCTTCAGCATAGAGTAACTTTTCAGGTTTTCTTCTGTGCGCATTCTTCCATGATGGCTGCAAATTTTTCTCAAGTAATGGTGTGTGGGAAGTGTGTGCATTTCGCCATCAGCAAGAGGCCTCAGTAAAAGTTAATACTGGTGTTCTCAGGAAGAGATTCTACTGCATAACAGTGACTGAAAATGGAATTGGTGTCATCCATACTAGTCTGATACTAGGCACATGTACCAACTAAAAAGTTGAATAAGTAAATAAAATAAATTACTATGTTCTCTATACAAGAATTTTAATTTGGACATATTTTTGCCTGAAATGACTATTTACTGTTTATTTGTAAGTGCCTTTAACACATCAGTTCACATTTTTAAATTGAATTTCATGTTTACTAACTTAGAATGAGAGAATGACAACGTTTGTTATCCACTGATTTATGTTTGCTCTCGTTAAAATATGTTACACAAGCAAGTAATTTAGGATCACAGTGTGAGTGCTATGTTTGTAATGTGAGTGTTCAGGAACAGAAAAAGTGTAGTAAGAAATTTTTAGGATACAAGCTTCCTCTTCGATGTATGCTGTGTTTTTTTGTTTTGTTTAAAAGAGCTTTGAGCAAATCTAAGATTTCTTTTTGAGTACTTAAGTAAAGAGAAATCAAAGATTTCTTTTAAGACTTTAGATTTTTTTTTTTAGAAGTTAATTACACTTTGTGTTTTTCAGGGTTTTACGGTTATTTGGTAAAATATATTTAGCTTGTAACTTACCTGCAGTGACAGAAGGCCTCTTAGAAGCCGTAGCATCTTTTCTTCTCTCCTGGCACTGCTTGGCATGGTGTTGCATGATGTGGGAGAGCTTATACAGCCTTGTTCTATCTTTTCAAAATTCAGATCAGTGCCAAGGCTGTCTCCGTCTTTTAGAGAAATTAAAAACAAACAAACAAAAAACAACCAAGCAAAACCCAACAAAAAAAAAAGGTTAATTTGGGACTAGGGGGCATATTCTGTTGTGGTGAACATTAATGTGATAATTTCCACCTCTTTGTTTGCATTTGTTTGTTTTAGGAGCAACAGAAGGTGATCAGCCTCCACATGCTTCATCATCTTTCTCCTCCTCTTCATCCTCTTCTGGGAGCAGACAAAGACCTGAGATTGGATCTTTTCTTAGAAAAAAGAAAACTAGTGATATTTACTTTGTTACACTAGTGTGGGCCATTGTCATTGTCCAGATCTGGCTAAATTTCTGGATTGTGCAGCTATTGCCGGTGCCTTTTGCAGGTAATATTCCAGTTATTAGAAATGTATGTTAAATGATGACTTTGGATAGCCTTAGGCTTTGTGTTAAATAAAATAGAAGGAAAGGCTTGCAGGCTTGTATGAGTTTTTTCAAGATTTTTTTCTTAAGAACATCGATAACGTAATAATGTTTGTGATGTATTGTGGCTTCAGATCGGCAGATTGATGTGCACTGTCTGTTATCATGTAGTGGACAACTCTGTAAAATTGCTTTGCCTGTTGACTATTGTAGTTACCTGGAATAGTTTAGTGCCATACCTTTCATTGTAAGAATACTTTTGGTTTAGAGTACTTTGTTTGTCTTCCTCTTGATGTCTTGTCTTTCACGTTTTTGCACCTATAGATAGAGAATATTTTAGCTGTTATTCAGTACTGAAGTACAGCTCATGCTAGCTTTTAACTCCCATTAAAAATGGGTTGCTAAGCTCTGTGGACAAGTCGCAAGATAAATTTGATTCTAATTTTAGCTCTGAGGTTAATTAGCTTTGTTACTTCACATTTACATGCATCTGTTCTCTTGTATATCAAGCAAGAATGGAGTAGTTATGCTAGCTATCTAAAGAGGTTATTTGAAAACTGAATGCCACTTTTTCCAATACTCTTTTGGGGGGTGAATAGGGAAGATGGGAAGTCTGGAAAAATGCATGAACTACTAAGAATCTGAAGGCATTTTCTCCCGTTCCCCTCCCGTAAGCAAAGTGAGTTTCCTAATTTGCTTGGGTTTTCCTTGAACTTCAGTTAAAATGCAAATTGTCAGCATTTTTCCATGTATCTAACACTTAAAGGTAGCTATTTTCCCTTTTACCAAGTGTGGTGGATTGGCCCCAGCTAGTGGCCAAGTACCCACAGAGCCACTCGCTCTTTTCCTCTTTTCCAGCATGGGCTCATCCATGAGCAGCAGTCCCTTTGGGGAGGTACCGGCTCAGGCATCTCCTCGTCCCTAGGCCACAGTCCTGTCAAGAGGTGTAACTGCTCTGGTGTGGGTTCTCCACGGGCTGTGGTCGCCCTGAATGGTACTCCTGCTCCACCATGGAGCACCACTTCTCCCCTGGCATTTTTATTCCCTCTGTTCATCCCTCCGTTCCATCTTCCTTTCTGTTCACTTGTTCTCTCGGTGTTCCCTCCTCTTCTCCCTCTCTAGTGTTTTCTGCCCTTTCTTCAGTATATTTTCACAGAGGTACCACCCCCATGCCTTAAGGGGTCAGCTTTGGCCTGTGGTGGGTCTGCTGTGGAGCCAGCTGGAACTGACTGTGTCTGGCACAGGGCAGCCCGTGGTCTTTCCCTATGGAGGCCACCCCAGCGGCCACCCTGCTACCAAAACCTTGCCATTTACACCCAATATGCAAAGCCTTTACAAACTGTCCAGTTGTGCATTTGGAAGTCATGACTGTGGGGCCATGTCTACGGGTTCGAGGGGCTCTGAACGCTGAGAGGCACAGCAAAAGGAACAGCTGCATGTTTGGCTGTGATGCTGTAGCAGCAGCTAAAGGGTAATGCAGCTGTTATTCGTATAAGTGGCTGAATACAGGGTAAAAGGAGACGGGTTTGATTTTTTTTTCATCCTAGTGTAGTTGCTGTGGAAGAAACTGCCCACTTCTGGTGTGGGGGCATCATGGGAAATGGTGATGGCAGGTTGGATGTAGCTCATAAATGCATCATAAAAATGATGAAGGGATTAGAAAATAAATTTTACACTTACAAGAAGCAGAGCTTATATGGCTTAACTTATTGAAGGTAAAAGTAAAGGAATGACTTAACCACTTGTTTAGAAACACCTACTCGGGTGGGAGGAAAAATGGGTGCAATAGTTTTGCAGTTAGGCAGACGACTGGTTTTAAGCTTGAGCCAGACAAATCTGGATTAAAGTGCACATCTATAGCTGAAATGGATGAATACTCCTGCTGCCAGTGACTAGGTCTAAATTAACTACCTGAACAATAAACTCATGCCAAAATAGAAATAAATTTTGAGAATATTTGTGACCTGTTGCCTTAGCAGCAACACGGGGCCATTAAGTACTTTTTCTGGGCATATAACTGAATATAACTAGATCACCACAAAAATATTATGAAAAGGCAGTATAATGATGAACAGAGCCAAATTTAGAACAGTGGATCACGTTAAGTGTCAGAAGGTCAATGAACCTGGATTGTTAAAAGCGAGATGGTATTAAAAATATTTAGTAGTGGAAAATAGGAAGACTTACAAAGCAAGTTTTCTTGCAACTTTAAGCACTTCTGAGACCTTAAGGTGAATGCTTCTGGTGTGTTAAAAAAACCCAAACAAACAACAAAAAAACCAAATAAAAACCCCCACCCCTAAAACCTTAAGTAGGAAGGTGTTAACTTCACCAGAGTTCCTTATAGTGGTAGACAGGACTTAGATGAAGAAGCATTTAGATTATGAGAAGTTTGTTGGTAGCATTAACATTTTTCCTTGAATGCGTTTGTACTTTGGTGGAATGCGATGCTCTTTTAAAATTGTTTAATGTAGAGGGTGGAAAAACTATACCGTGATTATACAGTAAAATGAAAGGATGAAAAAATGATTTTTGAATTCGAAAGCTAAGCAATAAGCCAGCTTGTGGAACACTTGTAGCATTTTGTTCAGTGATGTGAGCTTGGGAATCCTGTTATTGTCTTTTTTAAGATCTTTCATTTACTTCCTTACTTGTTCTGTTGCTTTTTTTTTTTTTTTAGTTCTATTTTTGTCTTCAGGTCGCTTTCTGCTTCCTGGAGATGTTTGGAATTTCTTATTATGCAGCCTTTCTCCTGCTCACATCTTTCTAATAACAGCCTTCCTTTAGCTTTTTCTCTCTTGCCTCTTCTTAACCTAATACAATTACAGCCATGTGATTGACTGCAGCACCTCCTGGCATCACCTTTGCAATGAGTGCATACTCAGTTATTTTAGAAGATAATATTTAAACAGTTATTTTTAAATAATAGCAGAAGGTTAAAATGCCATTTCAGGTATGTTGTTCACCTTGTAAAATGCAAACTTGCAATGTTTTGCTGAGCAGCAGTTTGTGTATTGACCATGAGTTGCATTTCATCATACAAAACTTGAAGCTGCAAGTTAGGTGCTGGCATTCGCACTGTATTTTCTCCCTTTTTGTATATGTTTGCCACATGATCTTTAGTAGAAAGATTAGGAGATCGTTCTATTTCTTCAAGAGAATAAATCCCATGTTTGCCACATGGTGGTGCCAGAGAGTAAGTAAACCAAATGTCAGCAAATTGTTGAGTTGAGGTTTCCCTGAACAAGAATGTAAACTATTACACGAGTCGCTTACAGACAATAGGCTCTTCTGGAACTTTGAGAAGTGCCCTGTGGATATTAAAAGTTAACCTTTTCAGCTATATATGTCATTTTATACATCTCCAAGTAGAAGCATGATGTGAATTTTTGAGGACGAGGCAATTATTGTGGTGTTGATGTATGGCAGTAAGTAATGAATCTAGTTTGGAGAATATCCTTCATAATAAAAAAAAGCTTTATTAAAAGTACACACGAATGTAATGATAGGGAATTCAGTATCAAATGTTGCTAGAAATACGATATAATTAGAGGAATATGATATAATTAGAGGAGTGCTGCTAGTGTTTTCACAGAAGGTTATTTTACTGTGTAAGTAGAATTTTTAACACTGACTAGTTTTTGATCTACTTGTGACGTTCACTGTTACTGAATTCTGGTTTAAAAAAATTGGGGAGAAATTAGAATTATGTGTTTTTGTTGCTAATAGTTTTGTTTTGTTTTCCTTTAGAACCATGGTTTTCAGTATGGGGATGCAGTATAGTTTTGTTTAGAGATTTGTGTATCAGTAGTTCATGGCAGGACTGGGTTGCGAGATCTTCTGGTCTGTTATGCTACATATAATAATTATGATCCTTTAAGTTGATGTATCTTGTAATGATGTTTTTGTGACCGGTATGTTTGCATCAATACTCCAGTAAAGTCAGCTGTAATACAAATCTTTGTTTATAGCATGAATTAATTAACTCCTCTGTTCTGATGTTAAATTTGCTAGTAGCTTTGGAAGATAAGTCGCTTTTCTTTTTTTCAGTGATAAGATAGGAAATTTGAGTGGTGTAACATTTTGTTGAATAAAAAAGGCATATGGCAAATATTTCATGACTATTAAGGGTCCGTTAGTTTCAAAGGAAGGTTTCATATGTATCATGCTTTTTTGCTTTTACGTTCCTGATTGTGATGATTCACAAGTTTTGCATGTATACTCAGTGAGGGAGAGCAGTGGCATTGCAGGATTGGAACAATAAGCCTTATGCAAAAGTCTCTGGGCTTTATTTCATGGCAAGTAAATGGACGTGAGGTTTTAGTTCTGTAACTGTAATGCTAGACATTTCTAGTGTTGTTAAGAAGCTCTTTATTTTACAGTGGATATATGTTAGGAGTGTTAAAGAAAAGCTGTTTGTGGTAGCAAAAATGCTGCTTTTGGGGGGAAAAAAAGTTGTAAATAGTTCTTCTGTTGTCTGTTTTTGAAGATCAGTATGGATTTTTGTGAAGCTTTGTGTGGTCATCTTCAAGCCAAGATAAAAAGCTGATCTGAAAATAGTGGTTTTGATGTTTAAAAGCAAAATTAATCAGTAGTTATATTTCAGTTGAAGGTTTAAATGAACACTTCTTTACTGTGAAATTATGCATGATCCGCTGTCAGTCCTTAAAGGAAAGATACAGCTTTAATGGTATTGAAGGCCTAAAACCAAAGAATTGAGGCTGAAAATTTTCTTTTATGTGTAACATGCTGTTAAGTTCCGAATGTAGTATTTTATGTGTAGTTGTCTGGAGCGTGTGTGTGTGAAGATGTGATAAATCCACTGTACTGGAATCGTGGAATGGCACCTGCTTATCCCAGGCCTTGCTCAAGTCTGTTAGCTGCATAATTGAGCAGTACGCAGGCACCTTTCTTCTGCTGCCATCTAAATTCCATATGAGCGTGGCTGTAGAGCAGATGAGGAGATTAGTACTAAAACCACTTGAAAGTTCTGAAAGGAGTTTCTAATGGGAAATAAAACTCAAGGATCTTTTTTCCTTTCTTTTTCGTAGGTCTTTCAGAATGGAATAGATGTGTAGTCTTGTGGTGTTCCTCTGAAGTCTTTAACACTTGATTTCCTTCTTGTGGTTACAGTTTGGGCACTTAAAAAACTCGTGGTTCATTTTGGAGTTTTGAACTTCGTGGCAAACCATTGCAAAAGTTGGTGGCAACTTGTTGAAAATTTTGTGAAGGAACGTCAGGAAGCTCTTGCTCCCAGGCCCATCAGAGGGCTCGGAAGAGTCATGCTAAAGCTTGACAGTAAGGTATTCCTACTTATTTCCTTAAGAAACCTGAAAGTTTGTTTTATTCTCTGTTCGCTGTATGCTGAAATGCTTTAATTCTAAAATAAATGTCTGTCACTAATGGACATGTCTCTCACGTAAAACTGTATCTGTTTTATGGTGTATTTTAAACCATGTCTCTTCTGTCACTATTCACACTTAAGTACACATTTAAACTTCGTTAAACGATTACATGCAAAGCTTGATAGAAGTCACTTTTTAAATGTTGAGTTAGCTTCAGAAGATTCCTTCTCTGAGTAAGGCAAACTTCTCGTGATTCAGTCACCCGATTACAAAGATTTTTAAATTAATGAGCTTTAGTCTGAAGGTTGAGACATTCCTACTTCTGTTGAGAAAACTTAATTTAAAAAGCAACCTGTTTTACTTTCTAAGTAGGGCCTGAGCTAGTTTGAACACATTCGTTTATACTGTGTAGAAGTATAGTTGTTGAACACAGTGGCGTGGTGGTACATAAGGGAGGCTTCCCTCTGTTAGAGAAGAAATATGTGAGATAAGGTATTTGGGAAGTGCCATAGAATAAGGCTTCTGTGCCCCCCTCCCTTCTCCCCCACTCAAAATGTGCCCGCATTTGCATTGCAAATTGCAGAGTTGGAAAGCTCCATAAAATTTATCAAGGCTCCTCCATTCAGAATTGTAAGTTTTGACTTAACCTGATAGCTATTACAAACAAAATAATCTATGCCAGTGTGTAAGAATGTGCTTTCTGTAACTGTGTTGTTGAAGTATTCTCTGCTTCAGAAAAAGCCGTTACCTCAGAGTTTCTATAACTGAAGAGCTGAACCCTGTAAGTACACTTGTCGGGGCATCTGTACCTTGACAGATCTGTCTGCAGTTTATAGCTCTGAATTCCTACAGGAAAAGGAAGAGCTTAAGCCAGATCTAATGGGTAAATGGATGTCAAAAGGTCAACAAAAGCATTAAAATGGCTGTAGGAAATAAGTAACGGTTTCACAGGATTCATTGAGGAAGAATCTGAAAAAGGAAAAGCCTTTCAGAATACAATTATGAACAAGATAAAGGGGTTTTCCAAAGGTAGTGGAAAGTATTAACGTCTTAGCATAAAAGCTTACATTATACAAAGCTTTTCATTAAAAGCTTTTGTTTTGTAAGTAAGAAGACTCTCTAGACACAATATCGTATGTATTGTATTTCATGAGTTGCCAAGATTAGTATCCTTGTATTGCATAACTATATGATATAGTATCCTTCCTAATTCCACTAAGTCTTTTCTCCTTAAAGAAGGTAGGGCTTTTGTCGTAATGTGCAGCAGAACTTCCCACTCTTCAGCTTAAATGTGTTGAAGGTCAGTTTATATACATGTTGTTCTTGTCTAAGCAAAAGAACAGTGTTGGCGCAACTCATTTCTCCATCTCCTCTCTCCCCACCATTTTTTAGATGGCAGTCATATTCCTTCTGAGTCTGTGCTGAGCGTATTAAAGCAATTCAAGCTCTTCTAGCCATTATAAGAAGGACATTTGATACTCTGCATGATTCTGTTGTCCTTGTTTGTGGCTATTCTAATTACAGTTCACCTGGCTTTATCATGGGTGGCTGGAATTATATGTGGTCTTCCAATGCTTATCACACTAATGCTTTCATATCTTTGAAGTTCTACTGGATGTGCTTATTCTGTGCATTGTAGGATCATGGATGCATCTCTGAGAACTTGGGAAGCAATGCCATGGGATATCGGCAATTGTATTTTTTGTGGAGACAGGGAAAGGAGAGGAATGAAGTTGACATCCTTGCAAGTTTTTTTAGAAAGGATGGATGAGCTGCATTTAAGTTGGATTACCAAACATTTTGGCTTCAGTAGGCACTGTTGAAGAGGAAGTAAAAATATGCAAACACAAAATAGAAACTCCCAGAGTGAATTGTTACAGCATACCTTTTCTGTGTGTATGTGAGAAACCAAGATTGAAGGATCATTTCCTTTGCAATGAGATGTTTACTTTTTTAATGTTTTATTTGTACTTTCTTTTCCTGGGAGCTGAAGCTGCTTAGTGGTTTTTGTTTGGTTGGTTTGGTTTGGTTTTGGGTTTTGTATGCTGAATTATTTGGAGGCTGAATCTCAGCATCAGGATGTATTGGGGCTCTTAGGTAGGTACAAGAAGCCATTGACAAGGTCTGTTTCACACAAATATCTAGTGGTACTACTTGGTCTTTCTAAAGTGCTATGCCTGATTAGGAAATAGTTCCAGTTTTGAATAAAAGGTAGTGAGGATGAGGAAGACGAGTGGCATGTCTTTTTCTCCCAAACAGAGTTTAGGAGGCTAGTGTAGATGGTCTGGAAAATAACCTATTGTGAGAAATTATGAGAGAGTACTGCTCATGCATGCAAATCTTTGAGCTTTACTGATTATGTCTGTTTCTTAAATAAAAGCAGTAAGAAAAGAACTGCTCTTCTACTTTCCCACTGCTCATCAACCTCTTGTTATCCTGGAAATGCAGACAAATTTGAACTGAAGAGAAGTTCTGATTAAGAGGAAAGAAAGTAGGTCATTGCATTTCATTTTCTTCATAAACAGTAGGTCAAGCTGTGCCTGTATGTGCAGGCCTGCTTTAAATATGGACTATGGAAATAAGATGATCCTACTGTATTCTTTAGTCCCTAGTTGTGCATTTGCCCCATGGAGCCAACGTATAGAGCAGTTCAGATATGAGAGACTTCCTGGAGGGAATATTAGGGAGGTTTCTGTTGTCATCCATCAAGTCATCTTAAAACTTAATAGGTATGGTATCATGCATGTTCTTACCAGCAGTCAAGAACTAGTAATTTGCTTCACTGATAATTTTTTTTTTTTTTTTTTTTTTTAAGAAAACTGTTGTCTTTTAATATGGTGACTAATTTTATTTTGGTTAGAGTTTGTGAGGGAGTTCAGCACAGGCAGTTGCTCAACTGCATGCACTAGACTTATTAGTTAGAATGTGCTAGTACTTTGCATGCATGCTTTCTGTGAATCATGGAGTTATTACATGCTTTTTCTCAGGATAATGTCCTAGAATTTTATGTATGGAGGCCTGTAATAGATTGTTTGGATGTTGGGTAAAGTCAAGGTTTGGCTCTTCTGGTACCAAGTTCAGCACATAGTTAAAGCAAGCACAGGAAATGGGCAGAACCTCTACCAGTCCATATATTATTGTAGGAAATATTTCCATAGACATGTAAGATCTTGCATAAATAGTTTTCCAGTAAAATACTGGAAAAGTGGCTGTTGCCTTATTAATTGTGGATTACTTGAAGATTAGAAATAAGCTGTAGTCTGTTTTTAAATGTGGATTGATTACGTTTGTAGAGCCACTGGAACATCACTATTGGTAAGATAGTAGGCAGGTAGAGCCCCCCAGATATTGTCTTAAACATTTATAAAAAAATGATTGTTATTTTTGACATAGAATGTTATTTCCAGGAGGCTGAAATTAGAGAAAAATACCAAAGACTTCCTTTCACGTTCTGCTAAAATTTCCGGCTAACAATAGAGCTCTAGCTTTTGTTGTATTGAGTTGCAAAGTGGAGAAATACAGTCAGAGATCTACGTTTTTTCCAAAAGGAACCTAATGTATAGTGGGTTTTAATATGCAGAAGTAAAGTTAAAGGCAGAAGTATGTTGTTGAATCAGTAAACAACTACCTTTTTTCACTGATAAATTATTCCATAGGTGAAGAGGTAAAATAGAAATAAATTCTACGGTGTCAGTTTGAGGCTTTTGAAGTTTTGTCATTGCTTTCCATTGCTGTGATTCTTTCCATGAGTAGTAAAAGTGGGTGCTTTGTGACGTATTTTATTTTCATGTTTCGTGATGTTCATGTTTCTTTGTAAATCTGCTTCTTGCTTCTGATGTAACTTAATTAACATTCTGAGATTTTTTTTAATTTGAAGTAGTCTTACATTTTGTTTTCATTGGGAGCTAATATAATTTCTGGCAACTGGTGAAAACACTGGATTTATTGAGCATTCAATGATCTTGTTTTCAGGGAGAAACAAACTTCACCTACTTAAACTCTAGATGAATCTTAACGTTAAAGCTTTTCACTGTTGTGATTATGCTGCTGATTACTAATAGCTAGAATTAAGAGTATAGACCTACATAAACTGGGTCCTGAAATGGGTGTACTTGAGCAGTGTTGAGAATTAGTAAGGAAAAATAACTGTAGTACAAAAGGAGAAATTGACTGTTGAGAAGTGCAAAGAACCTTCTGCACAGCCAATGAAATGATATGAAATCCATACATTTATTTGATCTACAATTTGCTGTTGTGTGTGTATCAGATTTAGTTACGTATTTGATGTGCCATTGAATGTGACTGTTTTAATATGAATGTGGTACTAAAAAAAGATACAAAATTTGTTTAACAGTAGTTGACATAACAGGAGTGTTTTGAAATACATAGGAAACTGCCTGAATGGGAGTATTAATGCAATAAACAAGAATCTCATGTTAAGTTTTGGTGTTTCAGTAAAGTGCCCTTCTCAGAGTACTTTTAGAAGTCCTGCCCTAAAATCTGAGATGTTAGCTCTCAGTATAATTAAACTGGAATTGCCCAGATTATGCTGATAGCTCTGTTAATATCATTAAAGTTGTTCTTATTTGCTATATCCCTCTTTGTTTCAAAAAGTGCACGTTAATAGTAAAATCTAGATTCTTGCATTAGAAGTTGTTATGATCTTTTCTTCCTATTGCAATTTACCTTTGTGTCTGGAACAATTTCATTTTCATTCTGTGGATGACTTTGCCTGCCTTTTGTTGCTTTTTTTCCTTCTCTGTTACTGCATTTTTCAATAATTTTCCACTGTGTTCTTGTCTTTTTTCCCTTTTCTTCCATTTCCCCCTGCCACTGACAAGCTGTGGCACTGGCTTAATAAGAAGGTAAACAAACAGAAAAATTGTGATTCCAACTAATGGATTCTGTGGTTTTGGGGAGGTTTGCTGGGGGTTTTTTTGCAGCATGAACACTCCTTAACATGCCTTGCTTCTTAGTTTTCTCTCCCAAGTGTTTTTTTTCCAGCTCTTAATATAAGCTACTGAAGGTCATATAATTCTACCTGATCTCTTGTCTTCTACTAAAATGAATGCACATAGTTAAATGTTTTGTACAGCAGAATATTGCATTAGCCTTTCGAGGGTAGTTTGATTTAGTGGCACTTTTATTTAAGAACAGTTGATCTCTACCTGGTCCCCACTTGTATGCATAACACCACCAGTTCTCTCCCGGACTGGAGAGCTGTTCTCTGCTCAGAGAAAGCATTAGTTAACTGAATTAACATGGGAGTGGTAAGGGCGAAGCACAGTTGTAAAGCTATGAATGTAAGCGCTTGCAAACAGCGCATTGACTGGCTTCAGTCAGTGCTGTTAATCTTTTACTTTGGAAGTGTCAAACTGGCCTGTATACTCAGTGGTATTTGGTGCAGCAGGAGAGGAATGAGAATACTCACGATCTCAGAACTGCTGAATCTAGCAACAGTCTTAAGGGAAGTGAGGGCTAGTAAAAAAATCTACAAAATATAATTAAAGCAGTTGGTATAGCTAAAATACTCATTTTGCATGTATATGTGTGGCTTTTAAAAGTGTGTGATGTGTTTTATAAGAAATGTACTCCTCAGTTCCCTTGGTTCATCTTAGTCAACTAGGGTTAACTATTGTTCTTTGGGGAACTGTTATCTCAAGAAGTTAAAACTGTTTCAGTCCGTGTTTTGCCTTGTGTGACTGAAATCTGGACAACTCCTCAGTGCAGTGGTATCTCCCTGGGACTTTGGCAGTGTCATTGCTTCAGACAAGCACAGAGCTGGAGAGGGATGCCTGTAGCATGTGTACTTCTGCAGGACCTCCGAGTTTTAAAGGTGAAAATCTAGTATGTGATAAAATCTATGAAAACCAAGTAATTAAGTGAAATAGGAAAAAATCAAATACTATATCTGGAAATGGGTTATGCTTCCAGCAGCAACTTTTATCCTCACGTACCACTTCAGTATTAGTGGGAGAATCAGAATGGTTACTATGGTTTTATAAACAACAACCCATCCTTTCCATTCAGTAGCTATTACAGTAGAAACCATAGGTCTGCCTTGCATGTTGTGAAAGACACCTAAAATACTATCGTTCTGGATGCTGTGGAAAACAAGCAGAACAGAGTAGAGCATGGAGGCCACGGGGGCACTGGCACAACTCTCTAAAAGGTTCTTGTAAACAATGAAATGGGGCTGCACAGCTGGTATCTGCTGTGGGTGGTAGATGGGGAATAATGCTGCGTGTAGTAGTAGTCCAGGCTGAGCAGCTATAGTGAAGTTAGAAAGTTTGATCTTCAGTATTTAATCAGTGAATTCAGGGTCATATGATGGGGGGCTTTCTGTGTTTCTGAACAAGGGGGTAGGGTTGCTTGCTTTATGATTCAGTTATAATTGTCCACTAAGAGGGGAATTTTTGAATGTACTTTTGCCCTCGAACATACTTTGGATGTTTTAAAATTACGTTTTTATTTCTTGACCTTGAAATGTTTGTGTTATTTGAGTGACTTATAAGTAGTAAATATGTGCAAGCATAACCCTTCATAAAAAATTTTTTGATTAGGTATTGGTTTGTTAGCACACTTAAGGTGAAGAGCTGAGTTCAGTGAGCCATAGGTGAAAGTCTAGTCTCAACTACTTTTTTTCTGGCTCTGAGTTTGTCATTTGCTTGCTTGAAAATTCATGTATGTGGATCAATTTTTTCCTTAATATTGATAGGTTGCAAAAATAATTTAACTGTAATTGCCTTGAACTCTAAAATGTCTGGATTTTATTTTTAGTTCAGAGATTTGCACTATTGGGCAAAACCCTATGGATATAGTTTAACAGAGGGTTTTGGTTTTGGTTTTTTTTTAGTTCCTTGGAGCTATTTTTGAAAAATACTGTTTTACTTTATAGTTTCATAGGAAGAGATCCTGAAAGTCCTGTAGTGTTACATGCAGTGCTGACTCCTGTGCAAGAGCAAGCTGTAATAATATAATCAAGATGAAAAAAAAAAAGGCAAAAAAATACTGTGCAAACTGTATCAGATTCTTGTGGGTTTGTTTTGTTGTGTTGGGGTTTTTTTTGTTTGTTTGTTTTTAATAACTACATTTAAAAACAAAAAATCATACTCTACCAGAGGCAAAGGAGGAGATTTGTAATATAGAACACTGGATGCAGTTAAAAGGTTGCTTCCTTTGCACCTTTCTCTTTTTTGCCTGTCTTTGAAGGGAAGTACTTGTGAGAACACCAAGATAAATTTCTAATAATCCACCAAGAAACTAAAAATATACCACCTAGAGATGGCAGAGTTTGAAATGATGGTTGATTATGGCTGCTAGTGATAAACCTTATTTTTGTCTTCCTGTTCTGAGAGCGTGTCAGGGCTGCTTGAAACTTTTTTTTTTGGGGGGGGGGCAAACAAGAATAGTATATAATCACATAGTTTAACATAGTATATAGCCCAAAATACAGAATAGGTTCAGTTGGGCTAGCATGATTTGTTCTTTATAACGTTGTCTATGGCAGGAGACTTTAGAAAGAATTGCTAAATTCTGCAGTTGGTGTTGGTGGGACACTGGTGTAAGTAGACTTGAGACCTCATATAGCCCATTCTCTGTCTTTTCTAACTTCTCATCTGCCTCATTTCAACATAACCCTGAGATGTCTCCTGATTACAGGCTTCCCCTTATTCTTATCAGATGATATTAATGAAATGATAGCCTCAGATATTAACTGAATGAAAGGGAAATGTCAACAAGTCTAAGAAATGTCATGGAAGAAATCATGATAGATAGTGAAGCTGTTTAAAGAAAAAAAAAAATCCTTTTGGTAATTTTATGTAGATTTAATTGAAAAAGAAGTAGATGTCCAGGCATGCTTCACTCTGTGGGCAATGCAGTAAATAAAACATACTAGAAAAACTAGTGTTCTGATAGCTATGCAGTGTGAAACATGAAAATATGAATTCATGGATGATGTATTATACTGCATAATATGGAGAACCTGTCTAGATAGTAGGATTCCCAAATGTTAAGCATGAACTGTAGTTCTACTACAGCTGGGTGTAATGTGGTTTGTATCCTCACCCAAAAGTTGAAAGCAGGGAGTACTTGCAAATTATTGAGAAGCATTTTAACAGAATGCATCTCATCTTAAAAACTTTTTTTTACAGGGAGCTTAATTAAAAAAAAAAGTTTAAAAAATTGATACCTTTCCCTTCAAAACTGTGACAATTAAGGATAGTTTTTTGTGGACAGTCTATCACAAATCAGTACCATTTCAGTTTGGGTTTGAAAGTGTGACCTTCTGTAGCTTAGGAGCCTGGCTTTCCTTTTGTTGCGTAATTTTGTATGTTGTGGCAGCATCAGCTTCCTGCTGTTGACTAACTTTAAATTAGAAGCTTAGAACTGAATTTAAAACTTCATGATCTCTGGCTAATGACTAGTGTTTAGTCAATATATGTTTGTCTTTGCGTGCATGCCAGTGGTTTACAGGAAGGTTGTGAAGGGAGTAAGGGGTTGTTGGGGTAAGAACGAAGTCTGGACCTGATGCAGTGGTAAGTACAAGCACACAGGGATTTAACAGTCTAGTTTACCTGCAGTAACATAGCACCTATGCGTTATCTAGCATGAGTGTGCAAAGGTGAGTGCTTCCTAAGGAGGTATTGTGGGTAAATGTAGAGAAAAGAAGGAAGGTTTAATAGCAAGCAAATTAAAGAAGAAGGAGTAAATATAGCCCTATGTGAATGCTGTGCATCTGCTTTTACTTCTACAATACTCAATCCAATTCAGTCTTCTCCTGTGATGTGTCTGTGTACCAGTTGTGTAACTTGGATCTCCTTAAGACTGTGGTGAGAGATATAATTGCAGTACCTGTAGGCATACCAGAGCTGGCTTTCATCTAGCTTGTTTGGGCTACCTGCCCAAGTAAATAAACACAAGGTGGGCTTGCATGGCTGAGGCTGCTGCCTGTACTGGTACAACACCAGTGCTGCCATTACTTTACTAACTAGATTAAGGGTAATTCAGGCTTTACAAGTGCCGCAGACGCACCTCAATGGCAGTGTAGGCATACTCTAACCCACAGTAAGGAGTGTCAAGAAAAGATCCCCTGTTCGTCACGTTCCAGTTCAGAGAGAGTCCTCATCCTGATCTTTTGGAGCTTGCTCTTCCAGTAGTTGCTGGCATGGTGAAACATCTAAAGTGTCCAGCTTCAGCTGCGCTGAGATTTCATCTACTGGATACCACTCACGTAGTCATTGAGGCTAGCATTTTTAAAAATCTCGGACAGTACCTCCAATTTCTTGGATTCAGTGAGTCTGATTAAGGTGCTATATATAAGACTAGCTAGCGGATTTCCTTTATCTCTAAGTTAGAAATTAAATAGCAATTAGTTTGAACTTTAACTAAGAAATAACAAGGGCAGCTTTAATTTTTAATAGCTTTATTTTGAAGCCCATGCTATAAAATTTCCATCCCCTGGCCATCCAGCGTTTTTCAGTGATATTTTTTATTTCTGACCTTTAAAACAGGGACTTTTATTTCTTGCTTCTCTTGCATAATCCATAGATGTATGTGAGGCTTGGAAGAGCACAGCAAATCTCGTTTTCAGTCATATTTCCAAAGAGGCAACAGCCCCGGGTAGAGGCTACTCAGAATTTTTCAGAAAGCTGCAGGCAGGCAGGTAACCTCCCTCTAGCACTTGGCAAGGCATTTCTGATGTCTGAAATATTTCAGCAGTGCTGAAAAATGTTAAAAATATCTAAGACAAAAGATTTTGCAGATTCCTTCAGGTTCTCTGAATTCCTTTCTGCAGGTCATAGTATTGTGCAGATTTTGTTACAAAAACTTGCTGGCTCAACACCTTGTTTCTTTTAAAAGGATTCTGCTTTCTTCCACTTTTCTTCATCATTTTGAACAACAGTCCTAAAACGCTGAATACAATCCTTCCGTTAATATAGATCAAACAAGAAGCTGGTTGTAAAAGAACTTGGAAGTTTAAAAATGATTGCTTAATGTACATGAGCTGCTCAGATGCTACAGGATAAGCACCCAAAAAAATCCTTACTTTTTTTCAAATAGGAGTTATAACTTCAGCGTTAACCAATTCAGTCATCACACAGCAGTCTGTAGAACTTAGTTGTTCCAGGCCCAGTTTCACGTGTAGGGATAGGTTAAATAACGAAGAAAGAACTAATGTAAACCATCAGCAGGCATATTAGTAGTTTTGTAAGATCTCTAACTAAAAAGTTACTGGCCCAGTCACTGAATATATAACTTGTACTCACTTGGAAATACTTTCATTTACTGCATATTGGCTTTGACCTCAGTTTTCTTAAAGCACAAATTTTACAGCTGGCCTTCTGCTGCTGCTTTTTCCTGCAGTAATGCCAGATGGAGTAGAAATAGCCTTGGTATTTGAACCATAGAAGCTAGAAAAATGTATTTGGTCCTACTTGCATTGGCTTTCACAGTTTTTTTTATGTAAACAGTCAACTTGTGTATGAGACGAAGCTCAGCTTGCACTGTTCTAGAGCACTCTGCATAGTCACAGGGCTGAGCAGTTTTACTGTTTGGAGTGACATTATCAGAATTTCTCTAATCCTAATTGGTATCACTATTTGTTTGTGGACATATATAGAATGGGCCTTTCCATAAACTGACAGAACAACATACATGCCTGTTTCCTGTATCAGTAGGTTTAGCTGATGCATATTTAATGCTGAGCATCCTTTCGAGATTGGAAGTGGATAGAAATAGTCAGTGCTGAATAATTGGCCTGATGTTCAATAATGTAGAAAACCTCCAGGCCCAGTCAGTTCAGAAGGTGATGAGCAGCTTGAAAAAATTTGGTTACTTGCAGAAACACCTCATTTGTCATTTAGATGGTTACTAGCTATTGAAGTTTGAAAGTCGTGGTTGTACTTTACAGTATACCTTGATAGCTTCCAAGTCCTGTGCAGATAGCATCTGTAAGATTCCAAGTTGCTGGAGGACAAGAAACAAAGACAAATTTCTAGGTTCATAGCCGACATGAATGCTAGCTTCTTTAGGTTTAGTAAGTAAACATTGAATTACTGCTTGCTTTGCAGAGAGCTTGCTGTGTCTTGTGGTAATGTGTCAATGTTGTTTGCAAAATCACATGTCATACCATGACCTTAATCATGCTAACATCGCTTGTTAATTGTTCATCTCCAAGCTTGGGCATAAATGCTGTTTGATTAGAGCCTGATTTTTGCACTGTGATTGTAAATAAAGCTAACAATACTGTCATATAGTATATAGCATTGCTTTCATTAAAGATTGATTTATATGCTGTGATTTTTTTTTTCTTTTGTCTGTACAGATGATCGTGTGGTTGGAGAAAATGCTAGATAAAATAATCAGCATTTTCATAATATTTTTGCTAGTGATAGGAACCCTTCTGCTAGCCCTGCTCCTTACTGCAAAGGTACAGTGTGCTAAGGAATGTAATCATAGAGCTCATTTTAAATGCTGAATGAAACTTGCTGATATTTATGGAAAATTGTGTAGCTTAAAGAATTTTCTGAAAAATTAAGCAACTAAATGCTCTGTAGTTGAACTTGTTACCATTCCAAGACTTCTAATTTATAATAATCTATATATTGCATTTATATGTTTATTTACATATGAGAAAACGAATATATAGACATTTGGAAATACGAAATTTATTCTAGTAAAAGAATTACTGGCTTATATATTACAGGAACAGATTTGGTTTTCATCCTGTTAACACTTTTCTTGTCAACAGCAGAGCCACTTAGAATTTTTTCTTTTTAATTTACCTTGCATGAGAAACATATTTGCAAAATGCTTAAGGTGTATTTGTCAATTTGTTTGTGTAATTGCCTGTAATAACCTCATGGTATCCTGTTCTGAGTTTAAATGTGCTAGGATTCATGATCAGATGTTCTCTGAAATTAATTTTTGGTTTGTGGTTGGGGGTTTTTTTGCTCACCAGAAGAGGTCACTCATGTACTATTTTTCTTTTCTTTTTTTTTTTTTTTTTTTTTTAATGGAGCTGTGTTCATACTTGAAACAGTCAATAGAGATTGAATGTTTGACTTGAATACAGTTACGGAACAAAAATCGATGGATTCTGATGTCAATCTCCTTTTTCTAAAATGTAGGCTTATATAATATTGAGTACTTAAAATTCAAAGCTTTAAAAGTTGTGCAAACATTCATGCCTAAAGCTTCCTTATATTCGTAAAAGGAACATTAAGGTATTTATAAAAGGTGTCTTTTATCAGTCTTATTGAAGAATTAATTTGGTGCGGCACGTCATAGCATGGTTGGTCATGTTAGAGCTGAGCATTCATTAATTTTTACACTTTGATCCGTGGCTTAAAAAGGTGTATCTGAAACTGTGGTTTGTATTTTAGTACTTCCCTTGACAGCACTGCTGTATTGTTAAAATTTTTTCCGCTGGTGAGATAAGGTTTAAATTTCCATTTGCTATTACCACTCACACAGTGTGTGACCAAAATTGTCAGAACAGACTGATGATTATTGTATGGACTGCTTTTTTGAGTTAATGGCACTTTTGTTCTTCATAATGGGTTGTTTGCGTTGGAAGAATTATTCTTTAAATTTACAAACTGGTCACCCAGCCACCCCCTCACCCCAACAAAAAAAGCCTCTCTGTCATATATAGGAAGAGTTCTAGTTTGCATTGCATAACATTTCCTCTCTCTATATTTAATTTAGGTACATCAGGAGAGTGTTCACATGATTCAAGTCACAAGCAGCTTGATCAATGAGACAGTAGCCAGTCACCCAGAATGGGCAAAGTAAGAATGCTGAAGTTAAGCGAATAGTATAGGGTGGATGAACAAGCTTCCAGGTGCTCTTATGCATAGTTTTTAATTTAAAAAAAAAACCCATAGGTGAACAGAAATGGGAGTGACTGTTGCAGGCAGATGTAAAAGCTAAACTCTCAGGTAGCAGTAGTATTTATGCATTACTCTGGAGGACTGTCAATCTGGTATCTCATTTGAGGACTGATTGGACATTGGTGGAGAGGGACAGCTGTATAAACTTCTCTAGTTACAGTTTTGGAGAGAAAACTTGTATAGTGCAGAGAATAAAGAGGTCAATATTCTTTTCCCTTTTACCTGCAAAAGAAAAGTAATGGCAAAGAATGCTCTCTGTAGAAGGTTGTGAGATGAGAGCTAAATTATTTTTTTCAACATGGAGAGCTGGCTGCAGAATGCCTTTGAGAGAATAGGAGTTGATGAAAATGTTTTCGGAGTGAACTGAAGAAGAGTTTGAGGGTAGAAACAATGGTGGATGGGGAGAGTTGTGGTATGAATCAGTTGGGAAGGGCTGTTCCTATTAAGATCAGAAGTGTATTGTGTACGCAGTGGGAAATTTGTAAGATACAGTCTATGTAATGATTAAAGCAAACACCAAACGCAAATATTAAGGGAGAGAGAAGATTTTGAGAGAAATGCATATAGAGAAAAACAAGGGCAAACTGGTGAGCAAAGAAGTGGTTGCATGAATGGCAGAGGGGGAATAGGTAAGACTGAAGAGTATGATTTTGAGGGGAGGATGTTCCAGTTTGCTTTCATTCTGCTTCAGCTAAACAGACATTGAGTAAAGGTGAGTCCAGGCACTTATGAGGAAAAAAAGAATTGTCTCCTGGACAAGAATGGTTGACTTCTTTCAAGGGCAATTTTTAAACAAAAGTGATGATGGTTTAACAGGATTGAAATAAAGTGCGTGCGGTATTATAAGAGTGAGAGAAATTTTCAAAAATGGAACTAAAATGATATCGTTAATAAATGTTATAGTAATACATGCTTTAGCAATACCTAAGTAATCACAATCAAGAGAACAGAAAGCACTTTAAAATGTGTTTGTGTATTCCTTCATGGCTTCTCTTGTGTTGTTTGGCCTTTCCATTTTGTTATAAGATGGAAATAAGTAGGACTAATGAAAATGGAAATTTGACTGTCAGAAGCTTATTCACATAATAAAAGTACTGGAGTACTAGTTGAGTAATTAGCAGAATTTTAGCTAAAAATTTTACTTCCAGTGTTTGCATCCAAATTTGAAGCATCCAAAACACTATCTTTTAATTCATTAGGAGTAAGTATACCTCTTGCCAAATCCATCAAGCTTCACCAGCTTTCAGAGCTTGATGCTCACATTATGTTTAGAGGTGAGTGACTGAAATGTCTTGGAATTCCACTGCAGAACATTTTTGAAGGGTTATACAGACAGAAAAACTTCCATGTTGATCTTCAGTCAGGTGAACAAATGCAGCAGTTTTATTTCCTGAATATTTTCTTGTTTTGGAAGGGCTCCAACATGTGCCATTGAATCAAGATGTAGAAAGAAAGTCAAAGCAGAGAATGTGTGCCCTGTATTCACAAGTGTTGAATTGCTGGCAACTCTGTAGGTCCATAGCTTGAAGGCGACACGAATCCCTGAAGAAATTCCTGAGCAGATAGTTTAGTGGGGACTTAGAAATAACTGGTGCCCAAACCTGTTGCTTCATCTGGTCACTTTTAAAGGGAAACTACGTTAACAGTTTACATTCAGCTCATAATTCAGAATGTTGTCTTTGCAGCTAGATGAGACTGCTTCATGTAGTATTTTCAAAAAACTAGAACACTAGGAAAATTTCTAAGAATGTAGTGTGAATAGCACGCATACAGATTGAAGAGCAGATCTCTTTTGAAAAAGTTGAGATACCAATTTAACTAAGGTTTCAGGAACCTTGGAGAATTCCAAATGCAATGATGTGCCCTAGATTTAATTGTGCTTTGCTTATGAGAAAGTCTGTTCCTTGATATGTAGAAGGAAATATTCTAGTTGTATTAAGTTTATATGTATTTAACCTTAACTGTTTGTTGTTGTTCCATAATGTTAATTTGTAATGTGTTTTGGGTGTAATGAAATGAGTAAAATAGGTAGCAGTTAACTTTGTTTTCCTTCTTTAAAAACAACTAGCTGGCTGCCAGAAGCCCAGGTTATTCAGAAGGCACTCAATTCAGCAGCTAATAATGTGTACCAATATGGCCGAGAATGGATTACACATAAGGTAAGAGTGAGCTCTCCCACCTTTTTTTAATGTTTTCATTTGTTGTATATCACAAAAGTAAAAAGAAATAAAAATATTTTTGTCAGTGATTCTTTTCTGTGTGGTTAACCATTTTGTTGACAGATCTGTTCTTTCCGCTCTGTGAGTTGAAAGCGGGGTGGGAGCGACTTCAGTAGTCTTTTCTGCTCAGAGGAATATTTATTTTTAAGAGCTGAAAAATCTGTCGTCATTTTAATGAGATTGCTGGTGAAAATGCATCAAATAAAGATGAGTAATTTTTTTCATCTGGCTTTATCTGTCCAGATGTAGGCAATGTAGACTTTATTTTTTCCCCACCAGTACTCTGATTTTATGTGGGCTGGGTGTGGTAGGTTGGATTTTTATTTATTTTTTTTTTAATTACAATTCATTTATTGAAATTAAGTTTCTTCAGGAGAATTTGCCAAGATTCTTATTTATACATTTGGATATCTAGCACACATCTCAAATTATTTGAAACATTTACTCTCAAGATGATCAAGGATTTTGGATTAAGCATTTTAGAGACGGCATTGGTTTTTCAGTGCAGAAAGAAGTCCTCAGCTTAGTGCAGCAGAATGTTGGTTTTTTTACAGACAAAATCTTCATGTTGTGAACTATGTTGTCTGAAGTGCGTATTCCATACTGATACTCGGCATTTCTAATCATTTGGGTTTGAGCCATGCATTTACTGACAATCTTATGTGATTCATCTATCTTGGAGTTTGTCAGTAGATGCCAGCTTTATTCTGTCCTGTATAATAACAGATTTCTGTATGTTTTAGCTCCATAAGATTTTAGGAGAAAAAGTGAATAACACCGCTGTGATTGAAAAACAAGTGCTAGAGCTCTGGGACAGGCTTTATCATTCTTGGTTTGTGAAGGTGGGTAACTTGTTTAAATTTTATTTATATAAACTATTGCTTAGTGCTTTGAGATAATTATGCTAAGTATGCATTTCTGAGAAAGAGATTGGCAAAAAGTTGGAATGCTCAGTAAGGGTCATAATAATGAAAAATTGGTAAAAATTTCAAGTGTATAAGATCATTCTACAGTCACAGGTTGAGTACAGCCAGAGCTATGTCCTTCACTCAAGTAGTTATGTGTGTTGTTATGTATGCCATTTAATTCACACTTTGCTCACTTTTTATATTTAGTATTTCATAGTTTACAGCTTTCTGTTGAATTTTTGTGGTCTTGAGGGGTTAGGAAAAGCAAACTGGTATTCTGCATGATTTGTGTAACTTTAATTAATTTTGAAATTTTGTGAAAGAAATTGTCCTTTCCCTAAGTTTCTTATGATGCATTTTTGCCAACTGTACTAGCCTTCCTATAATGGGTTCTGCACACTGAACCTTGAAAAGTTCATAAGAGTTAAATGTTTTTCATGCTGCTGATGCTGTTTGCCTTTTAAAGGAAAAAGCAATTCATTAGCTGTGGAGCAATGGAAATATCAAAATCCAGAAGTCATACCCCTGAAATACTTCTGTATATTTAAATAATTGCTATTATAGTATACGAACACTTTCTTTATACAGTTGTTTTTAAAATACCTCTAAAGTTCCAAGATCTCTGTATTAAAATAAGTTTAAGAGTTTCAGTATAGTAGTCAAAATAGATGGGGAAAGCATCAGTTTCTCCTTCTGACAAGGTAATGCTGTAGAAGAGCATGTGGAGAGATAACATGATGCTGTTGAGGAATATGGGACCACTGAGGAGAAATTAAAGCTGTATCTAAAATAGATTTTGGCTGGACTTAAGCACTTGGGAGTGTTCAGTGTTAAACGCTTGACCAAGAAATGTGCCACTTTTGATACAGTTATGGTGATAAACGTGTTGCTTTTACTAATACAGGCTGTGTGTCAGGACTGTATGGTTCAGTAGAGCTCTGTGTCACTACATGTGCAGGAGGAATATTTTTGTTGCTGCAGTATGCAGCACAGGTTATGTCTGTGTTCTTTGCATTATGTGATTTCTTTCCTGCCACTGTTATTTGAGGGAACACGATGAGGCTTCTTTCATGTAGATGCTCTTCTGGTAGGGTAAGAAACAGCTTCCCTAGCAATCAAAATGGCAGAAAGAGCTTCAGGAACACAATGGTGGTTGCTGTCTACAATCTTGAAGTCTGTTCCCCTGACTGCTGTTTACATACTAGACACCCTATGTTACCATTGGCATGCTGGGCTGCAGCTGGTTATCTGCGGGCTGCAGGTAACTCCTCCAGAGTCTATTTCTAATCTTGCCCCTTCTGTCACACTCCATCTCCATGTAGATGTCTCATCTGAGTGCTTTCCACCTGGCTATTTTCTTCTGTAATATTACAGTAGCCTTGTGTAGTCCTTTTAGTATATCTGAAAACTGGTAAACTAGATGATAGTGCAGCATGGAGGACATGTGTACCATCTCTTAACTCAATACAGCTTTCAAGCAATCTGTAGGTACCTGAAGAACCCAGGCTCAGGTGATAACTCTTTCATGAAAGCTGTAGAGTTGAGGAAGTTGCTGACGAAATGTAGGTTCAAGCATTAACTGCTACTTTCTGAGAAGATCAGTAGGTAGCAAATGGTGTGTATTTTAAAAGGTTCTAAAGATGTTGTGATAGATCAGTCATCATTGTGTCTATGTACTCAATGAAGTAAAATAGTGGCAGAATATTAAACCACTTGGAAGATGATGGCATAACGCTGCAATCAAGGTGTCTTTTTCAAGGGCAAGAATCTCCTCTTCCTAGTCCATTCAGGTGTGGGGATTTGTTTTGTTTCTAAGATCTAGTGAATTTGTTGAAGAGGAACCAGTTGACAATTTCTTCGAATCCCTTATTTATCAACACCTGAGGCCTTAGGTGCTACAACAGTATGGTTGCTAAATAACAATTAACTTGATGTGTATGAATAACCATGTTACAAAATTTGCAAATGATGCCAGATTCTGCTAGTTAATGGTGAGAGCTGTCTTTGAAAAAAGAACTAGATGAACAGAAAATCAGTTCTTGATACAGTTTGCAAATACAGAAGGCCTATTGGAGGGAGATTTTTGACCACTCATGTTTCTGCTCTAAATAAACAGCCAGCTCAGAAAAAAGATTTCTGTGTCGCTGTGGATTGTTAGTGAATGTTGCTAATTGTGCATTGTAAAGTGTAACAATGCATCTAGGGAGAATTGGTAATAAGCAGAAAATGTAATGCTCCTAGATAAATCAGTGCAGGGGCTACACTTGGAATACTACTTGCCATGTATGCCAAAAAAGATACTGTCATTTTGAATGCAGGCTGGTAAGGTTAAAAGTTTTTGGAAAATTCTAAGAGAAGTAGTGGGACACTTAACATAAACATCGGAGTTTGAGAAATTGAGAAGTCTTTTGCTATTAAAGATTAGGATGAGGTCTGTTGTAGTCAACGGGTTTGCTCGGACTTGCTTGCAGTGGAATTTTGGCATCCTTCTCTGAAACAGTTGTCGCAGTCCCAGACTGAGTCAAATAGTCTCATGCCAGACAGTAATCAGGTGTGATTCAGCTGGACAATAGGCAACTTCATAATTAGGGTGAAGCCACTTAAGGAATTAGCTGTTGTGGTTATGGCCATTTCCTGTTGTCTCGCTGTGTTGCAGTTACAAAGCTGTGTAGTCAGAAGAAATCCTCCATGTTTCTAGTTCAGCTTTTAGCTTTTGCATGACTGAACATTGCCAGTGCAGAAGTAGACGCTGGCTGTGAGAAAACTACTTGTTTTGGTTTCTGCTTGTATTTTCATTTGTGGGTTGTACCTGGGAGAAGTTGTATGTTGCAAACAGTAAATTATGTAGGCAGTAACTAAAATATTCCTTCTTTCTTGTGTGCTTTCATAAAAAGCAAGATGGATACCATTGTATCAGTGAAGCTGTAAAGCTAATGTTCAACTGAGGTGAATCAGTACAATATACTGAACTGTCATTACATGGGATAATTAACTATGATTTTTCTGTCAGTTTTTAATTTTTCCAGTGTACAGAGTACTTCCAGGTATTTTTTGAGGATGCCAGTTAAAGCAGGTCTAAGTATTTAGATGCATGTTGGCTCTGTTCCTCATTAAGAAAATGTTAGTCTTTGGCTTTCTCATATCTGCACGTTATTCAAATGTCTGTTTTCTTTACGTCTGTGTCTCTCTTTAAGAATGTAACACACTCTGGAAGACACAAAGGGCACAAATGGCACATAAACCGTCAAAACAGCTGGCTTGGTGATATTCTGGACTGGCAAGATGTCGCATCATTTGTTCATGATAACATTGAAACATTTCTTTCGGTATGTATTTTTTGCCCTTATTACCAAATTGGTCTCATTTTTAACTGATAAGAATTCCTCCTAGGACTACCACTAAGGTTATGGATTCAAGTACATGGAAAATTATGGAAACAGTGTTACTTACAATTAATTACCTAAGCAATTATTGTAAGCCTACTTAAGATATAACCACACTACAAACAGAAGTGGTTATGATGAAGAAGCCCTCCTGATTTCGGCATCTTCATTAATGCTAGCTTCCCAGACTTCTTCCTGAGGGAGATTGTTACTGTAGGATTACCTGTGTCACCTGCAAGTTGGTTTTAAATGCTTTATATTATGTAGTTTTGTCTTTTTTAAAAAGAGACCAATTTGTCTAGGCTATAATTGAGGAAACTGTTGACCAAGAGGTTGTGAAAACAAAATATTTTTTTGTAGTCTTACTTTTTTTCCCTCAAATTGTTATTCATTGGGTTGAAAGCAGCTTATTTCTCTCTTCTTTTATGAAAGTTCTGTGGAGAGTGAAATTAATATTTTACACTGTATGAATTCCTCAATTAATGCACTGGACCTTTCACCTCATGAGGAGAAAAAGAAAAAGCATTGAAAGCAATCCAAACTGAAGCAACTACATTTCTCTATTAAGCATTTCAGACTTAACATCTTTTATACAGAGTCAATCCCTGATATAGTTCATCTTTGACTTGAGCTGTTATAAATGAGAAGTATCTTCAGATTACTATTTATCCATTTTGGAAGAATACTATTTAGGCCTAACTCGCAATATAATGTTTCTGTGGATACAATTAAAGTGTGGATACAATTAAAGCTAGTATTTGCCTGGAGGCAGTTCTTGGTTTAACTGGTGGGCCTGTGTGCTTTTTCTGTACTCCTTCAACTGCTGCTTAAATGGTTACAGTTTCTATCACAGAAGATGTGAGTCAAGAAAAAGTTGAGAGAAACTTTTTATTGCAGTGAACCTTTTTGCAGTTAACAGTGAAATTTGCTTAATACTTTCTGAAAGTTGACCGTGCATGCTTGAGGCAGAGTTATAAAAATGCACAACACATCATCATTTAAAATCAATATGGAGTTTCCCTCTAGGCAAGAGGGAGAGAAGGAGGAGAAACTACACGATAGGTGCTAGCAATGTCATTTACAGCATTGCTGCACAGTGCTCAGAAACCATGATGATAAGTGTGCTTCAGTAATCTAAATAGGCTAGAATAATGCAGGAAATAGTGTAAAGAGAATAAATATTGAAGACTGAAATACATTAATATTAAAATTTATATCTAGCTAGCATGCTTTGCTTTACTTCTAAAATCTGGTTTAGAAGTTCAGGGGAAAAAAGTGCCAGCAGTTGACTTGCTTTCCTGTTTATTTCCATGAACTCATTACTCATCAGCTGTTGGGAAACACCTGTCCTTTTTCTCCATACGCTCACGTCCTTAATGACAGACTGTAAACCAGTCAGCACAGTATATAGCTCTAAATCCTGATTTCATATCCTTACCGGGCAGCATTTTCTTTGCTGGCTTGCTCATCCACAATGCATTGCATAAACATTACTCACTGATATTTCAAATGAAAATTGATGAAAGTCTGATTTCTGTGCTTGTTTAGGTCATTAAAACTTGGGAGATGATGAAAATAAGAATAGTTTTGACTTAAGTTTGGTGTTTCTAAGCAAGTTGCTTACCTACCCTAGGATACAATGGAAGCTTACTGTATTTGGGATTTATGTTTTTATCAGAGCATGAAAATCTTTCTCTTGGTATTTTGAAGAGGAACCATGAGTTATTAGAATGGCATACTGAATTGGGAAGGATCAATATTTTAAATTAAGTGGGTGCTTTTGAGGAGTATTGGTTTTGGGGGTTCCTTTCTTATTTTGGGTGGATTTTGTTTGTGTTTGGTTTGGGGATTTTTTGGCTTTTTTTGTTTGGGTTTTTTTGTGTTTTGTGGGACTTTGGGTGGGATTTTTATTTTTTTTTTGGTTGAGTGTGTTGTGTGTGGTGTGGATTGTGGGGTGGATTGGTGGGGGGATTTAAATAGGTTAGCTATAATTCAAACTGCAGGATGTTTCTGCAATTGGAGACTTGAAATCAATGCTAACGTGCAGGTAAGGATATAGCAAGACACAGTGCAGTCCCAAAACTGCTTTGACAGTTTTTTAAAACACAACACATTTAAAGACAATGAAGTAACTGTAATGAAGTGTGTGTGGATATGCAGCTATAGTGAGATTTCCCCTACCTTTAGAAAAGAGTAAACTAAGATTACACTACTTGCACATAATAAGTACTTACGCATAGATTGAGGCTAGTGTTTACTATAAAGTAACTGCCTTGCTGGCCCCTTGGCTTTCTGAAATATTTCAGAATAGTACAGATGACTCTGTATTCTCTGAAAATACAGCTGTTTGACAGTGTCATATTGCAATCACAAGCAGATAAGCTCTTTTCCATTGATGGAAATCATAGGAAGTGTTCATCCTCTTTAGTAAGAGAAGGAGCGTTTGCTGTAAGAAAAATGTTAAAAGATGACAGATGCAAGTGTTTAACTTCAGGCTTTTTCCGTAGTGGAAGAAACTTTCATATTAGAGTTGAAAGCATATAATTAAATCACTGGTATAGCTGTGCTGGGGAATTACTGTCATTCATTTAATTTGTAACAATATGCATCGATTCAGTACTTTGAATATTAGATAAAGCACAGAAGACTTCTGTACCCTCCTCAAAATGTGCTGTTCATTATAGCAGTTACGCTTAGCTCTAGTTTGATGTAGACAGACCTTAATTATTTTAAAGTAATTCACTATATAAACATGTAAATTGCCTGAAGATTTAATATGAAGATAAGCTCTTCCAGATCATCAGTTTGCTTTTTTTCTAAAAGCTTTGGTGTTAGCAGCACTGCTGCCTTTCAGCTTCAGATTTTTCTGGTATTCTTTAGAAGCAGTAGTGTTCTAAACCAGTTTATCCAGTGATGTGTTTCTGAAGTGGGGTTTACTTCATCCTGTTCTTATTTTGGGGAGAGAACTAGAGTGGATCCTCACTTATGCCTCGAATTTTGCACCCCATGGTCTATTCTAAGGTAGTTTTCCGGGTGAATGAAATAAGCAATATATAGCTGGACTATTAGGATTTAATTTCTGAAAAATAAAAAAGCGTCATTCCTTCCCCATTCACTTGCTTTTCCATTCATACCTTTTTCGTCCAGTTCTTGAAGGCTTGAAACCTTGAAAAAGTAAATTCCTGCTGGCTAAATCTGTGAATGATCACTCAGAACTCCCTTGATGGTATATGAGACATTACTAATGTCTCCTTAAATTGATCTTTTTGCTCTTGCACAAGAATATGCATCATTCCACCAGCAGCCAGTATCTCATTCGGAGATTTCCCAGACAGGAAGACGGAAGACCTTCCATTAAGACGTACACAGCGAGCTTCAGCTCAGTTAGGTTTCTCTATCCATGCCTCTAGCATGGCTGATCTGTGCGTGCCAAATCAAGTCACTTTCTCAAATACTTTCACTGAGTTACCACATATCCTAATGTTTTCTCTGGCCCTGAGAATTTCTTCAAGTAATCTCCTAAGTTGATAGCTAATACAGTCCACTCTTCAGTAATAATTCAACTACCTTTTTTTTTTTTTTTCTGGTAAGGTAAGCATTCAGAGGTTTTGTGTTCTCTTCATAATGGGTGTTGTTTTTTTCAGGGTAGGTGAAATTCAATGTGATGCATAATTTTAGAGGAGGAGTTGATTTCTTTACAATCAGAAAGTCAAAGACATGATGCTGGAGGATGGTCCTTTTTCTGTTGCTGTTTTGTCTCTGTTTCATGTAAAGGTCAAGCAAAGATGTTTTTTCAAAAATAAGCTGTTGAGCCCTAAAGGGTTATCCCAGGACTTTATGGGTAAACATTTGTTTGGAAATCAGCTTTTACTGGAGCAGGAGGCCTTTGATCTTGTGCATACTGTATTGTTCTTCACAAAGTCCATTGTTTGTCTTTTACCTTAAAGGTTTACTGACTTGTTCTGTTGCTGTCATTTTTGAGTTGTCAGGATGATACATCTTTCTGAACAGAAAAAAAATTAAAAGTATACAGAAGGACAGATTTTTTTTCCTAATCCCTCTTTGTGTCCATTTTTATTCCCTTTATAAATCTGTTAATGATCTCTATAATCAAATTAGGTACATGAATTTACCTGGCTTCCAGAAGTTTGTTGACTTGAAGTTCTCAGCAAATAACTTGTTTTGATCAAATTCCTTTTAAACCTTGCTTTCAAGTATTGGCCAGTTTAAGAGGCCAATAGGACACCTTAGATGGCTAAGAACATTAAGTGCAATTTTGATTTCTTACCTGTTACAGATTGGAAAGGCACAGCAACTGATGCTGACGGTGGCACATCACAGTGTGATGCATAAGGGAGTCTTGAATTCTGTACAGCTTCATAGCTCTTTTAAACCCTGATCTCTTAAGGCTACTTACAAAGCAGAGTTTTGGGGAAGGAGGTGTGTTTTTCAGTTATTGAGTAACAGTAATATTAAAAGTGTCATTATTGCATAAATGTTGATAGTTGTGTTTTAGAGAACTCATCTCAGCTGGCAAGGCGTTAGAAATTGTTTCTGCCTAGTAACTGAGCTCATTAACTCCACTGCAGTATGCTCTGGGAATCAAACAGCAACATGAACTCTTCTTAGGTGCAGGTATTTTGATTTTGTGACTGTTAGTGAAGTATTTGAGCACTTTCTGATACTGTATTCAGTAATGATTAATGTCTGCTATGTCTGTTTTCTTATCCTAGCAATGAGAAGCATGTGTCTTGAAATTTTAATGGTACATACGCATAACGAGGAACTTACTCTGTAGCTGGAGATGAGTCCTAAAAGATGCACTTGCTTTCGTAAGAAACTGAAGCTGAATGAAAGGCACTGTCTGCACTTACTCTAAAGCAAATGCTAGTGATAACTAGTACAACAGTTCCAACCAGTGACTCTACCTAACAAGGATGTTCTTCTAGGAGAACCATTCCTGATAGTGATTGAACCACCTGATAACAGCCTTCAAACTAACTGCAGTTGTATACTCCTGGTTATCAGCTCCTTAGGCTAAAGCTTCTAGGGAAAGCGTTAAACAAATACAACCTATACTGGAGGAACATACTATTTTGAAGGAAACTTTCCCAGCCCCCACTAGATGTACACTGTCTTGTAGCAGATGGAATAAGCCCCTGTCCTTGTGAACCACTTGCCAATATCAGCTCAGCTGATGTGTTGCAAGTGATGGTGTGCTAGGGAGGGAATTAATGATTGCTGTGATCAGTATTTAGAAGACTGATAAATCAGGCTAATTTTAATCTTGAAAACTTTATTAGACTAGCTTTCTTTAACAACACAATTCATGCTAATGGTTTGTTTTACAATCTACTAATTGTTATCATTACATATTCAAAGTGGTCAGTCCTAAACAATTGTGTCCTACATGAGCTGTGAGGATAGAATACCATCTGGTGACGCTGTGTAGTTGTCAGCAATAGCCTCTAGCCTTGATGGTCTGAGTTACAGAAGTCAAAGCAAGCAGGCTCAAGAGCTCTTAAATACAGAAAGCTGGAATTGAAATGGACATCTTCTTCCCTTAAATTAAAGAGCTTGTCATTTTATAAGGTGTTTCTTTTTCTGGACAACTTCCACCCCTTGACCTCTGCCGTGGACTATATGCTGTGTGATATTTGGAGAGGCATTACTTTTCCAAGAGATGGCAGGTGACTTGTCCTGTTGCTTGCCTGTTTGGTTTTATTTTTTTTTTCCCCTTCCTTAGTTGCTACCACATTTTCTTAAAGCAAAAGCAGTCTTTTGCTAGCTCTTAAGATTGTACATTTTCCAATTCCTTCTTCCTCAATGAACTGCTTGTGTTTCGGGGGCCTTTGTCTTCAACCTGCGTCCCTATTTTCAAGGCCTTTGCTGCTGTTGTGAGATTGAACTCCACAACATAACAGGAGACCTGTGGCACCAAGCTCCTGTTCACACACCAAGTTCTAGTAACAGACTTAAACATCTGGGACTGGAACCTTGCACAGTTAGCATACAACTTACAGCCTGTTACTAGCAATGGCAGTACTATTTTTACTGACTACCAACTCAAAGGCCTCTGCTTTAGCCACAAACAATTCCCTCAAAAATCACTGTGCTCTGTGTTTACAGTTTTCATAGTGTAATGTACATTTAATAAAGTTGCCTGGTGGCTGCATGAAGTTATACCACTGCTGCACCCCCAGAATGAATTCTTAATCCATAGAAGAAGGAAGGGGACAAGTACCAGTGGAAGAACATTTGTCAGTAGAATATCCTCTTCACTTCTAACCTCACTTGAATTCTCAAGGGAGACTGATAAAACCTGTTCAAAAGATGAACCTTAAAATTCATAACTCTCATTAAATAGCAAGAAGCATGAACTAAGCAGATCTTTCTGGTTTTACTATGTGTTGTAATTCCCTGTCACTTCCCCAGCACTTATTCCCTCCCAAGTTTATGCTTAATAAATTATCTTCCATATCTTTCACTCAGTTCCAAAGGAGAGGCAATCACATGGCTCACACTCCTTTGTCTGCTCTGCAAAAGCCAGCTGCTGTTGGGGTTGTTTTGTTGTTGTTTTGGGGTTTTGGCTTTTTTTTGTTTTAATTCAGTCTAATTGATTAATATACTCATTAAACCAAGAGTAACTGTTGCTAGTATTGAAGTCTTCACTTACAGCTTTGAACCTTGAGAAGGGCTTTTGTGTCAGAGCTTTTACATTTTTTTTCCAGTTATATTAGTTAGTCTGAAAGAAGGTATGGCTTTTTGTTTGTAACCTTGCTTCTTTTATATGTTTGAATCAGTTTCACTGATACAGTCTTAGCGTATTCCTTCTGAATGAAATATTTGTTCTGAAACTACTGTGCCCTGTGTTTAGGATGCCTCCATGTACCATGCCATGCCTTTATGTCCTTAATGGCTCATGAAGTTGCTGCCTTATTCAGATTGATGTGTCTGCATCCGTACATAAACTAATTTGGCTGTCATGGGTATTCTGTGTTTAAAGGCATGTCTCAAAACTACTCTTTACTGTCTGTAACTAATCAGTAGTCAGTTCCCCAAGCCAGTACAAAATTCAATAGATTGTCTAGCATTGCTTGATTTATTTTCCACAAATAAATCTGTGGTTGACTTGACTAACTGGTGCATCCCTCCTCGAAATCACAACTTGTGTAGTTGTCTGCAGACATTACAAAAATTGTATCTCATTACCATTAAAACATTTTTAGAACAAATTTATTAAACTAGTAATTTTATTATTTGATTTGAAGCTGTCTTCAGATGTATTTCCAGCTTCTGGTGTTACTCCTTCTTCTTTGTGTTTTAGCATTTCTGCTTTTGAAAAGATGAGTTTTCTCTCCCAAGACAAGATCTGCTTTCAACTGATGGTGATGTTAATTGCAATAAACAAGCGTCACCGCATCTAGATTTTTTGCAGTTTAGCATGGTGAAATAATTTTGAGCACTGGGAGAAAAATTATAAAACCTTGTAACCATCTATTAGAAACTTGTCTTTGGTAAAGTAGACGTTTTCACTTGACATTACGTGCTGTAATTCTGGAGTGAGGGAAGATGATTTTTTTTTTTTTTAAAATGTCTTCTTTGTACAGCTTGATGGAGATGAATCACTGTAAGCAGTTCTCTGTCTTAGCTAATACTATCTGGTGCCTCACTGTCTTCTCTTCCCCCTCCTGTTACAGATCCTGGAGTCTCTGTGGATAGTGATGAGTCGCAATGTGAGCCTGTTGTTTACTACAGTTACAACATTAGTGACAATCCTGTTCCATAGTGGGACAGCTCTTCTCAATTTTGTGCTTTCAGTGGTAAGTAGTATGTCATCGGTTTACAGGGTCTGTTTTGCTGAAGGAACCTAATTGCACATGTTGTAACAAAGAAAAATCAAACCTAAAGCATTGAAAACATCATCCAATCTTATCTAATACCAAAATTCCTTAAGATTTTGCAACTTTCAAATCTCTTGTTCGGGGTGTATTCTAGGCAAAGGGCAAGATTTGTGTAACTTCCACATTAAGGAGCTGGCAGTCTTCCTATCATTCTGTTCATGGAAAACTTCTGTATCTGGCCTTGAAGATACTGAGCTGTAACTTGTGTTATCATATATAACTGCTGAAATCTTATGGCACGTCCTCATAAGCATATCCTTAAACAAGCCAATGCTCTCTGAAGAGAGGAAAAATTGTTACAGGGAAATGTCAGCCAAAGTATTTATTTCACAAGGATTACCTTATATTCCCTCTTTTAATGTGTCTTCAACAAATCTGTGTGAGGGGGTGGTTGCATTTTTTTTTTTTTTATTTAACCTATGTGAGTTCTTCACAGAACACTTTCTACACAAAGTTCATTCTTAATAAAGTTATTGCCCACACTGAGTAGTAGTCTCTGAAACCTTTTTATTAAAGGTGTTTTCTTTAACAGATGTATTACTTTTTAGTGTATTATGTGAGCTAGATGTTTATAGTTTCTTTTGTTTGTAAATGTCACAGCTGTGTGGAATAATTTATAATGAGAGGTAACTTCTTTCTTATTTGCTATCACAGCTGTTACTTAAAGTAAAAATCTCCTAAAACGCTAGCCTGGGACTTTTTCCTGGTTTAACTAAACAGATACTGATCTTGGAAGCTTGACTGAAATCCACGTCCTCACTTTTAGTTCAGGATTCAAAAACATTTGTTAGAAAACAAACGGTTTTGCCAGTTTAACTTCATTGCCTTTGTCGATGCTTGCTCAGGAGGGAGGTCTTTGTAGTCAAAGCTGCAAAATTGAAATAATGCCATTTCAAGGCACCAATGTGGATTCTTTTCAGTATTTAAGATCACAATAAGACTTAATTGAATGGCTGTCTTGAACTGAAGAAAATCACTGCCACTTAATTTTGTTGTTCTCTAGTTATCTTTCAGTTAGTAAAGAAAAGATTGCATGGGAGTATTTCATTTCTTCTCCTTAGCCCACAATTCACCCATGATGACACATTGAAAACAGCATCTGAGAAGTTAGCGTACTTAAAAATGACAAGTTTGGATAATAATTGCAGATAATTTCAACGCACTCATTGCTCACACACAAAATTTAGCTCCAGATGCCCAATGGCATATACCAAGTTCATTACATGCTGTTGCTGTGATGTGTGATCCTGCCTTTTTGTCTGTCAGAAGGGTCCCACCACTTGCTGGGGCACTGTGCAGTCAGCTGGTTTAGCAGAGCTAGTTGGGATATTGCTGTGTTGGAAACTTTTAAAGCTTAGATGCCCTAAAGGCTACTCTTATTTCCTTCACTTCCATTGTAGGTTGAACACGTTAGCTTAAAACGGTCATATAAGGCTTTCCCAACCAAAACACATCAGTCCTGCACTCTTGGTTTCCTGGGTTTGACCACGAGCTTCCATTTTTGCACTCTTAATGCTCTTACATATATAGGAAAGATTTGTTTCAATACACGTATAGGTTCTTTCTGTAGATTCTTGATGATGGTAGCCTTTGAAATGCAAACAGCAGAACTGAGAAATACTTCAACTTTTAAGAAATAAGGCAAAACAATCCCTGAACAACTTTGTCCTGTTAACTGTACTTCAAATCCACCAAGGTAAAGGGATACACTCGCCTCCATTTCTATGCACAGAAAATGTCATGTTAAGTGTTGGTGTTCTTGTAACTGTATGAACTACCTCTTTTGAAGGCATTTAAAATTTGCATGCGTACCTGGAGAGTAGTTACTAATGCTGTTAAACACTGTGGGAGACTGCTATAACTTAGTCTTGTTTGCACTGTACGTTTCATAGGCTGTTGTGTCTATGCAGAGGCATGGTTTCTCATCTTTATGAAAGTCTTTCGCAAAGGTTCTTGCTATAAAAACTAAACAGATTTTCTTAAAACACAAAAAGATAAATTAATGGAACTTGTTTTAATAGGGTTTAGTTTGGGTTTGTTAACAGCTTATGACTGAAAGAGAAAGGACTTAAATCTAGGATATTCAGTAAATAGCCTGCACTAAATAAAGATTAATACAGTCCATTATTTGGGGCAGTAAGTAAATGAAAATGCTAGTTGTGAGAATTTAGTTGAACCTTAAAGTACTTTTTAGGATAACTTAATGAACTGTCATGGAGTTCATGTAGAAATAATATAACTGCTTCTTAATTTTTCCTTGTGCCTTTTTTTTTTTATCTTTCCCTCCTGCAACAGCTTAATGCAATAAGCAGAAAAAATCCAGATGTGACCCTAGGATAAATCACTGCAGCTTTCTTAACTTTTGTGATGTGCATTGTTACTGAATCCCATTTGGTATTATGTCATTGTTAGATTTACCTGCCATTCGTGTTCCTTCCTTCAGAGCTAAAGAAAAATACCTTCCAGGTGAGATGGAGGAGACCAGAAGTGTGACCTTAACGGTTCTTGTTCTTCTGGGGTCTCAAGGCATACTTACATTTTTTGCTGTAGCAAGGTTTTTTTCAATAATTTACTTTCCAGGGGTGGATATCTTTAACAGTTTAGTTTTTCTTTAAGCTGAGATTTCAGCGTGAGCTGGTTTTTGCTCTCTTTTGGAAAGTCTTGAATTAAGAAGTTCATGGTTTCCTGGGAAAACTCACTATTCTCCAGTAAGGAGAAAGAGCTTTTGTATAAAGTTCATATTGAATGTGAGGGCAAATAGTTTCAGAGTTTTTGATTGTTTTACTTTAATTGCTGCATCTTTGACTGCTACCTGGCCCAATATCCTTTCCCCATCTCCTTTTTTTAATGCAGTTTTGGAATAGATTTTTTACATTTTGAATGGACTGAACCCTAAAGCTAGGTAGGCAGCATTTGAGCACATTTTGTGTGTTGCTATGGTCCAGCCAGTAGTGTCAGCTGAAAAAGCTGACTCTTGAAAATGCCATGTCTGTGTTTTGACGAAAGATATATTTAATGGGCTACTGAGGGAGGTTTGGTTTGGTTGTTTGGTTTTTTTGTGGTTTTTTTAATGTGAAACAGAAGGAATTCTTTTAAATTATGTCTAGGTAGAGCTGTGTTTAAAAGAAAGCACTACTCCAGCTTTAACTGTGCTCTTATTTTTTTTTTTCATTTTGCAGGATTCTTAGTTGCTACAGAAGAGTTTTTACTAGTTTGAAGTGGCACAAACTAATTTAAATTTTCCAACAAGACAATTCCTGAAGTGGTTAGCTTTTCAACTGGTTACATTTCAGTCCAGTTTTAGTCATCTTGAATAAAAATTTAAATAGTGAGTTTTATTTTGATAAATGGTTTAAAATATTGCACTTTGGAATGGAAATAATAGACACTTTGTTGAGAACCTCCATTTTGAAAAATACATCTTCCATCAAAACATTCAGTAGGAAGTAATCTGTGCAGCATATCCGTCCATGATCCAGTAAGACTGTATTCAGATCCTCAACAGACGTTTGAAAACTCATCATTAGTTACAAGAGTGCCACGTCTGTTTCACTTCTGAATACGAGATCCTATCCGCACGCACATGCACATGGATGTATATGTATGCCTTTGTGTGTGCGTGTATATATTCACACTCTGCTCATACTCTGTTACAAAGATCAGAAGAGAAAAGCTCCATTTGGCTGATGGGTATCCACAGTCCTGTGGGGAACACACAATTTTTTTGATGCTGTAAAAAAAGAAAGAAAAAAAGAAAAAGAACCCAAGACCAAAGCTTTTGGGCAGAAAATTGAGTATGAAAGGCAGATACAAAAATATTTCCCAAGTCTATGGACCTGATGCACAAGCAATTAAGTCATGTGTTTTCTTGATATATATGGAAATACTGAATTACCATATTAGTATAGAGTGTTTACTTGTAGCTTTCTCCTTGAATTCAGTCTATCCCCACTCAAATTAGAGTATTCAACATTTTGGGCTACAGAACAAATTCTACTGCAAGAAATAGTAATCCATCAATTGTTTAACAATGGAGAGATCTTACTATTTTATCTTTGGTGAATTCCTCCTCATAGTCATCAGCAGGATCTTGAATTGTTGCTTAGGAAACAGTTTAGGTAATATCTGAAATCTCAGACACCCTGTAAAAGAGGTCTGAAAACTTTCAGACTCCAGTTGATATGGACATATCTTTTTCCTGCTGAATGTACTGTTGAAGCTATTCTACTTGTTTGAAGAGTCAGCAAACCACTTGATGATAAATTATTATATTCTGTGACTACTGCTTCTTTTTGCATTTCCGTACCTATTGAGCTAAAGCAAATATGTTGATTTCTCAACATGCAGGTAATCTAAAATTCAGTTGATTTTGTATGGTGCTGTGGTTACATGCATCTTGTCTTAACAGAAGGAGTTAGGTTTGTATTTTTTCCTAGCTTGTAGTTCAGTTTAACATCCTTGTTCCATTGCTGTTCATCCTCAGCTGTCACTTTGGCTTCTGCAGTTCAGATAGGTATGTGTATGTTTTGTGTGCTGTTACTACCTAAGAAAGCAAGTTTCTTCTGTGAACACTGGGGAAGAACAGCTTTTCAAGTTGGTACAGGTGACGTGCATGTTGCCACTTGAACTAATCCCTAAGCTCTTATTCGTAGCCTGTCTCAAGTCAGCCCTGTATGTTACTCATACCACAGGGAATCAAGCTTTGCCTGTTTGCTGCAGTTCATTAGCTTGTTCCCTGGCTGCTGTATTCTTTTCAAGAGGCAACATCTTCAGAAGTTAACTGAGGCAGTCGTAATAAAACAAGATCCAGTGGAGCTGTTTTTCACTTTGCTTTCTGAGAGTGTCAGGATGAGTAGAGACTATTGTACTTAGAGCAATATGCTGCTATCTGTATTGAAAACTGCACTGCAAGAAGGATCTGTAGCCAGATCCCAGTGGAAGGAAGACAAAACACCACCTGGATGCCTGTTTCAGTATAGGGAGTTTTGTAGCAAAATTAGGAAATACTACAGTAGCTGTGGAGAAATGGCAGGCCCTATCAAGGAGAAAATAACCATAGTTGCAGCATTACAGAGGATGCTAAAATCTGATTCAAGCTTTAAGATTTACTCATTTGAAATTGTAACAAAACATAGCTGATGTTGCTACTGGCACTGGATTATTTCCCGTTAAACCAAGGCCTAATTCAGGGTTGGGGTTTTGGGGATTTGGTTTTGTGTGTGTGTGTGTGTTTGTTTTTATGATCTCAAAATGAATGTTAACAGTATACTGTTTAAATGTACTGATGTAATGACTTGTTTTAGTAGATAGGTAGGTTTATCACCCAAGGCAGAAGTTACACACCTGGGAAGATGGAATACAGCCTAAACCTATATATGATATTTTGGAAAGGGGTCACAGTAGGTGAACAGCTGAGTGTGACTTTCAAGGGAAAGGCTGGGAGGGTCAGGGGAAGTAGTAGTAACATTTCACTGAGTGGAAAGGAATTAGGAACAGCGACAAATGGATGTTATTCTTGAGACTGGTAATGGTACTGGTGATGTTGTGCCGTCTGTGGTTTTTTTCTCTGAGCGTGTTCAGAAAGAATGCAGGAAAAGGGCATGAGGTGTCTGCAGACTGGATAAAATGCTTGAACGTAAGAGACTCATGGAGGTCAGGCTGTTTGGCTTATCAAAAGATTAAGATGTGGATGGACACATTTCTGTGATGTATACTTAGCCCAAGAAGTTGCTGAGCCCACTGACAGGAAAATAAGGAAAACATAGTGGACTGCAATGTCCAGGAAGCTAATATAATTTGATTGTATTTTTTTTGTCTTTAAACTGAAACAGTGGAACTGCCATCACTTCTGCTGAGACTCATCTTCAAACTCACAGGAGTAATGAATCAGGATTGCCAGCCTAATAAATATTATAAATTTTCTGTTTGTGAGTTTTTGTTTAATTGATATCTGATATCCAGCTGCATAATGACTCTTGAGACAGCTCAGATTTATTTAGTGGTGTTTTGGTGGTGGGTTGTTTGGGGTTTTTTTAAGAATAGATATTACTATTCAGTAATTCTTTGATCTGTTAAACATGCTGGGGAAAAAAAACCCCAACAACTAGAATGTTGTTGATCTGTATCAACAATATTCTAGTTGTTTGATCTAGATGTGACTTTGGGAAGAGGCTGAACAGGGCTAGAAGTTTTATAAAGTTTAGCTGTAACTGTTAAGTTCTTTGTGGAGGAGGAGAGAAAATTATTCTTGTAGCTCTGTGTGTTTCTCTAAATCCAAGCTTGTAGAATAATATTTTGTGCCTTTCCAATGAAGTTCAATACCTGAAGCATAGCTGCATGCTGTAGTTCTGGAAAGTATTTATTGCCTTCTAATTTAAAACTTGAATTTGGTTTGCAGGTGATTTTTCTGACCACGCTGTTCTACCTATTGAGTTCCAGTGATGAGTACTACAAGCCAGTGAAGTGGGTGATAAGCCTGACACCTTTGTCTCAGCCAGGTCCCTCCTCAAATATAGTCGGCCAATCGGTGGAGGAAGCAATAAGGTATGTTGTTGATTTCTTGCCCTTTCTGGAAAATTCTTTTTTAAATTTGATGTTCAACTACAAATACTTAGCAATTGCAGCAGCTCATGTTTGAAAGACGAGTTGCAAATCTCTCAGATTTTCAAGAACCTAGCATTGATGACTTTTCCCACTCGATTGTTAAAAGAGCAATTTGAGTGGACTTGCCTAAAAAAAATTTCAGAGGTCTGTAGCGAATACTAGTATTTTATAAAACTGATACACATGTGACATCCCTAACGTATCGGGAAGCAGTGTGTTTGCAGCTATGTTGGCATTAACAGCTGGCGCAGCTCAGTAGTAGCAGATTCATACAGCAAAACAGTTGAAATGGAGGACCTGACATCTGTGCTGTACACATTTCAGAGTTATTTAGTTTGAACTATTTTTAGTCTAATCTTGGGGACTAAGTACCCATTTGCAGCTGGAGTGTATTATATATGCTCCTGGCGTGCACTTTCCAGTTCATTTTCATTTGAGAGAAATCTAGTTCATGATCTCCATGAACCAAATTACACCAAAGGGAACAACAGGGGAGAGCTCTCCTTATCCCACTTAAAACACTACTGTACTGCATCTCCAGAGTGCATCCACAGTGTTTCATGCTTAATTACCATTCTTATGTTTCACCTCTAAACCACTACAGTAATTGAAGGAGGATTTTTTGTGTTTTTAAATATGGCTCACTGAGATCTCACAATAAAGCAATTTTTGGGGTGGTACAGTAACGTATTTCATTCATCACAGATGACTGAAACTGTCAACTTTCACCTGTTAGCAGCTTGAAACACTAACATGTTGGTAATGTGATAAATGGATTTTAAATAAGGTGTTGTAAGTCATAGCTCGCTTTTTCAAAAAGGTTGATGGACGGGGCAAAGTCAACAGACTCCATGCTAAATTCTATACAGCCATTGTCTCTTCCACCACTGCTTTCTGTGTCATCCTGCACATATATGCAAAACATGAATAGACTTTAAACCGGAGATGTATTAAAACTGCTTTCCAGACTCATTGCCGAATGTTTGCCATTGTTCTTAGGTGTACTTTACAAGTGAGCGTTGTTATCTGTTATTGGAATTAAGCTGTTTCTGGGTACATTTTAACAGTAAGAAGGTTATATCATGCTGTGTAAGATCTTGAACAACAATGATAACTGCTATAGTCATTTGAAATGAAGGGGCAATCCAGCCACAAATTTGGAAGTCTGCCAAAAAGCTAATAGCCCTTCTCTTGAGTGACTGCTATTGAGTTTCATTGATCATGTGGTTAATATCTCAGTTCTGTCTCTTCTGAAGAATGTGAGCAGATTTAGAAACTGAAACTTGTCTCACGAATTGTTCTCTTTAGCCCTTGGTAGAGGGGAACAGTGTCAAAAGCCAGGATATGGCTTCTCTGGACATGGATACTCTGCAAGGAGGATTGTATTAAATGCAATTTTAAGTTTATAGGTCTGTCACACAGGTGACCCAAGATATTTGACAGAGTTTAGAATGGTGGAAAGAAAGAAAATAATGTTAGAGAAGCCACAGGAAAATGAGTAGGAAAGAGCCACCATGCAAAAGCCTGTGTCGGGAGAATGTGGAATGTGAAGCTGTTTGTCATACACAAGGGAACTTAGTCTGTGTGTTCACTGCGGTAGCCTGAATCAGTCATGCATATTTGTTTGTTTGGAGTAGCCCGTACTTGGTGCCTTATCTGAATTCTTTGGAATGCTTTTTTCTGAGATTTTTCAGAAGTTTCTCTCTCTTGCTCGGTTGTACTTAAGGATTTATCATAATGCTTCTAGATTAGCTTGCATTCCACTCCATACTTACTGTGATCTTCAGTATGTAAATATGAAGATTATAGTAACAAACTCCCATGAGTTTATGCATGCCCAATTTGTTGCCATATGAAAAACAATTGCCACGGCAAACCATTTCTTTTGTGACGAAGTAGCAGCTGTCCTTTGTTTTTGAAGATGAGTTGTTGCTAGAGGGGTAGAAATGTGAAAATGGCTTGTTCACCTCATCTATAAAAGGCATGCAAAATGGATGTTAATGCTTGGTGGTAAGATGGGAGGAAGAGGCTCCATTTGTATCATGAATTATCAACTAATGAAACTTCTGTAGTCACTTTTGTCATTAGACTGTGACAGCATTACACAATATGAATTCAGCCTCAAAACATGCACTCAAGTTGACCAAAAGTGTAGAAATATCAGGTTATAAATATTGAAAGTCACCAGCTGTGTTCCAGGTCCCATCACTCTTCAGCAGGACATAGCACATGCACGAAGCTAAGTGTGCATCTGACTAGTCCTGTCAGAGGGTAAGGATCGTTCTGGCAAGACGTGCAGTTACATCACTGTTGCTCATGGACCAAATGACATGAAAATACTCTTATTCCATGTTGTCAGTCACTTCTGTTGCTCTTTTACTTGTAAATATGTTTGTAAAAAGTACTAGGGAACTTGGATACAATCAAGGAGGTCTGTTCCTTTGGGTCCTTTGCCATTTATTTGTGAGAAGAGGAAGGGGGAAAGGAGGAGGGCAGTCAGCGAATGATTTCTGCAGCTCAAGAAATCCCTTACCTTGAAACTGTTATCCAACAAGCACCGAATCAAACCAAGACCTTTTCCCATTACAGTTTCTCTCATCAGAGCTGTGTTGTGATTTTTATTGTCTGGACTATAAGTAGCTATAGATCTTACAAATATTTTTCGAACTCCCTTGGTGATGAGATTGCAAAGACAGTGACAGATCTCTGTTCATAGGGATTGATTTATGAGCTGTATTGAGGTAAGAACTGCTTTCCAGCCTGTTTTGAGCCAAGTGTTGAATCTAACTGTTTCTGTCACAATACCACAGATGTTAAACTTGCACTTCACTAGTGGGGGAAAAAAAAAAAAAAGATACAGCTGTGATGACAAAGCAGGAGTTTTAAAGAATTTGAAGGGAATCCAAGAGTTATCTGCTACAAGCCATGGGAAGAAACTTCCCCATGGGACTAACATGAGCCTTGCTTTGAGGAGGTGACTGTCGTAGCGGGACAAGGGGAGAGCAGTGATTGCCATTTACCCTGACTTTAGCAAGGCCTGTGACCATGGCATCCAGATGGTTGAAGCATGGAGAGGAGGAGGGAACTCCTGTATGGCGTGAGGACCACTGCTCTGTGCTCAGCAGGACAAATCCCACGCGTGGGGCAGCTGCTAGTGTTGGTGTGCCTCAGGTTGGTGGTGGGGCTGATTCTAGGGATTGTCTGAAGTATGGGCCTGGGTGGTAGTTGGGCAGCTTTTCTAAGAGTTTAGACACCAAGAGGAGAGGGAGGGGTGCAAGAAGCACCATTGCTCAGTGTGGACCTTCTAAGCCTGGGATCATAATTCAGTCTTTCTAGGCTTCTCCCAGGAAAAGGAGGGAAAGGGAAACACAAGGGATAGCCTCCTGGTGGTTTGGTCTTTCCCCGTGTTGCAAATGTGATTCTCTTTATAGGCTGGGCATTTGCCTTTGCGCCAGGTGTCTCCCTTTGATGGAGTTGTCCCAGTTGTCGCAGCCAGCCTCCAAGCAATCCTCCAGAAGGGGACCGACAGTGTTTGGACTTTAGAACAAATACAGTTTTGCAAACTATTCATAAATCAGTTTTCCCAATTTTGAGTAACTTTGATGATTAGAGTAAGCACTTGTATGTGCTTTGTTGCCATATACTGCCTTTGCTCCTTCTGATCATTTGCCTTTTGGGGAAGGCAGTATTTAATCTGCGGAGGGAGAGGAAAGATCAATATTTGCTTGATGATTCTGTAAAAAGCAGTAAAAAGTCTGGGAGGAAGATCACTACCAAAGGCATGTGTGACCACAGGGTTTTCTGACTGATATATGAAGTACTGGTGCTACTTCAAATAAAGCAACTAATTCAAAATTCACAGTGCCAAATTCCATGCTGGAATTTCCGATGTCATTGCCTGCAAATGAGGTGGGAAATAAAAATTCAGGAAACTGGTAATAATCCTGAATATTGCTAATGTCTCAGTAGCAAAATAGCTTCTGTTCTCTCATAGTTTTGGTCTTTCGTGCCCAGTTGGTTTATCTGTTTCTCTTTTCTTTGGTTTGCAGTCAATCTCAGGTCTTTCTCACTCTAGTTTTAACTTTATTGGTGTGGCAATACTTCATTACTATTTCTTCTTCTTGATAAATGCTTCATTTGCCCTTTGCCTTTTGTCCCTTCTGGCATTCTGTCCTTTTTTTTCTTCTTTAATTTTAATTTTTTTTTCCTGTTTTCCATATTACATAAGTGGGGATCAGCACAAAAATGTGATGAAATATGAAGGTAGTATTGCACCTTCATCATGTGCAAGAGTCTTCCTTGACTGGCAGTGGTGTTTAGTAGCCTGTGAATATAGTAAATACACGATTTTCTTTCACTGAAACTACTGAAAGTCAGCTACAGGAACCAGTGGAGGAAGGGGAGTAGAGGGACTGGCAACTGCAGCAGAAGGGTTATGCCAGAGTAGGTTGAGCTGCAGGAATTCTTTTGGCAGCACTCTCAGTCAGGGTTAGGAAGATGACTTGCTTTAGAAATGTGAGAACCACTTGGACTGGTCTAGTGTATTTAGATAATTTTAGTTTTCAATATTAGTAAAATTTTTCATTGTAATTATAATTATATTAGTGAAGTAGTATTTTGAGGGTCAGGAGGAAATGATCTGTACATATCGGTGTGAGATTTTCTTTCTTCAGAAAGGTTCTGTAAAATCAAGTCAGATCTTAAGTCACCTACCTCACTGCGTAAGTAGGAAAATTATGTCCTTTACCCCTTAAATAGAGAGGTGGTGCTCTTGCCTGGATTTCCACCCCCATCCCCCCTGCCCCCCTGCCCCTCCAAATGGATGAAGCAGTAATTCTCCAATTCACAGGTCTCCAAAGTAGTAGCATGCACACCTTTGCCTGAACCATTTTCCTTTCCCTGAGCAGCATGTCGTTCTCTTCCTGAATGCACCATACCCT